CTCTCCTTCTTTCTGTGAATCTGATCTGCCTTTCCAATAAAATTAAATAAATCTTAAACAAAATAATTCTCTAAGTGACAGAAACATACATGAATATTAGAGTGTGCAAGTTGAAACGCTGGGATCATCTAATTTTTTTCAAAGTGAAATACAACAAAGAGTACCTTTAGGGCTGCCCTGTCCACAGAGATAGAAAACTGGCCAATTCAGAATGGACAGGCTGTGTATTTAATGCTGGCAAGTACTGTTCAGTACCTACTTACATGACCTTTTACCTCATTCGCTAATTACACAAATGTTCCCATGCTGCAAAAAGAGAAGGAAGTGAACCTTGCACATGCCAAAGTGGAGTCCAAAGGCCCCGGAAAACAAACAAGGCAAGATGAGCAAAGCCATCGGACAACAAGTGTGGCGAGCTGCCCAAGCACTGTCCCTGTCCCAGGTAGCCATGGACTTGGGGGAAGCTGTGTCACACCCAGGGCAGAAGCAGGAGTGCCGTGGGAAGGCTTCCTGGTGGGGAGATAAAAGAGCGAAATATGGGGAGTGACAGGGATGGTCTCAAGGATGAGTCTGTGCATGGAGGGTGGGGACAGCAGCTCCTAGAGTTGCAGGGACCCACTTTGATTTCTCTGGAATTCTGCGAGCTGCCCATCATAGGCTGCAAGTGGGACACTTGACATGGCCCTCCATGCACCTAGGGGGTTTCTGTGTAGCAAGAGGTATTGGTGCAGTGTACTTTGCTTTGGGACCAAATGCTCACCATGACAAAGGCAGCTAGGGACCTTGGGAAGCAGAGCAGCCACTGTGCTTCTCGCACGTCAGCTTGTGGCAGAGCTGAGTTCCAGGTGTTCTGTGAGGAGCCCTGACTTCCAGCCTGCCCCATCTGGCCTGGGCTGCGTTTTGGTGGATCCTGCTATGTAGTTCTGTTAACCAGGGTTCATACTTTACTTAAAAAATTTTTTTAAATTAATTTATTTATTTTCACATTTAAAATTATTATCATTTTATGACACAGTTCCACAGGCCCTGGGATTTCCCTTAGCTCCCCAGCTTCTCTCCCCCTCCAACTGAGTTCCTCTATATTATTACAATAGTATAGTTCTTCATAGACAGTCATTAAGTCCATCGTTAGGGGCACGGACAATGGCAGAGGGACCTACATCCCACTGTCAAGATATATCTACCAGTTTCACTGGGAGTCCATCTGTGATCTAGAAGTAGAGATGCATGCCGCATTCTATCCTCACATTTGGATATTACAGTCTCCATTACACAGTTACTACACATTCCCTTAAATGAAGAGCCACAAAACAAGATCAACAACAGGAAAAAAATTTTTTTTTAAAGTTTTAGCATCACCAGTAAAATCTGGGAAAAAAAAAGAAAGCCCTGGGGTCTAAGTGAGTTTGTACACTACGATAAGTCTCAGAGGTTTGAAAAGGCCAAGGACACGCTTCCAGGACTGTCAATACTTCAGAAATAGCCTTGCCTCAACAAAGCAAGAATACAAGGTTTAATAAAAGCTGATGGACCACTCTGTAAAACTAGGAGGCTAGGTAAGACATCAACCTGTGCGTGTCCAAGGCTCTGGAGGAAGATGGGCATTTAGAAAGCCAACCGGCATTTCTGTGTGAGGCAATAAGCCTGGAAGCAGACCAGCAGCAGCTGCACATCTAAAGCCTTGCTCTGAGTTAACAGCCATGCAAAGGTGGGCTCCAGCTCACTCCCCTTGCCCACCACACTGGTAAGGTCCTGGGAGGAAGTTCGGGCATCTCACATGAGACTCTACCCAGCAATTTCCCAGCATGGAGAAAAGGGGAAAAGACATGGGCACGCTAGAGGAATGTGGTCCCATCACAGCTTGTTCTTCCAGCCCCTCGGGGTTGGAGCGGTTCTCGCACCCACAGCTGGTGCAAAGGCCAGCATCAGTCTTCACACCTGCTTTCACTTGACGTAACCAATACCTGACAACAGAGTCTGGCTTGTGCCTTGCTGATAGATTTTGAATATTCATTGAGATATTAAATGTCCTTCAAAGACATTCTTCTGAAAGGGCTGGTTAAGGTTTTGGGAGGAAGGCTTTAGATACACAACTGCTGCTGGTCTTAATGTGTCCTGGGGCGAGATGGTGCGGAACCCCTTCCACCTATTCCCATCTGAATACAAACTGGACCCTGGGCACTTAGCTCTTCCCTGTGATGCCCACCTAGCCTGTCAGGTGACTACTCTCGCTACCTTGCTTGCCACTCTCCATCATGTCTGAATGCTTTCCTGCTCAAGGACAAGAATCTCCAATTAGCTGATTCCTTTAACAGAAACACCAACATATCTTTAATAATCTTAATGATTCAAGACTAGTTTTTATTGATCTGAAAGTCACTTGACACTTTGTTATAAAAACTTCATAAAGACGCAATGCTTAGGTTACCACTTGGGATGCCGGCATCCATATGGAGTGCTTGATTTGAGGGCCAGCTGCTCAGCTTCCGAGCCAGCCTACCACTCAATCAGGCAGCAAGGGCCAAACCAAGTACGTGGGTCCCGGTCATGCAAGTGGAAGACCCAAATTGAATTCTAGGCTCCTAGCTTCATTGCTTAGGAACAGCTAAGAGAATAAAGAGAACTGGGGAAACAAGCCTGGCTCTGTAACTTAGCACTTTTAATCAGGGATTAAGTATAGGGTTTAGTTTCCCTGGCCTGAAAGTCATGAGCATCGAACCCCCCCCCCCAAGCCTGGTGTATTAGTCAGCGCGCCATTACTACAGCCAAACACCTGAGAGAGCTAACATTATAAAGAGCAAATTTGTTTAGCATCGGCTTTGTAGGAGAGGGAGGGTCCAAGCCCCAGGTTGAGTAGTCCCACTGGTGAGGCATCTGGAAGGGGTGGTGGATGGCAACGGCCATGCAGAAGCTCGTGCAGAGTGACCATGGTGACCCGGGAAGCAGAGAGCGAGCAGCTGGGTTCACCCAGCCTTTTATAAGCAGCACCCTCAATGACCTAGCAACTTCCCAGCAGGCCTCTACTCAGCAGAGCCCTGCGAGAACCAGCCCTTTCAAAAGAATGTCTTTGAAGGACACTTACTTTCTCAATGAATATTCAAAATCTATCAGCAAGGCACAAGCCAGACTCTGTTGTCAGGTATTGGTTACGTCAAGTGAAAGCAGGTGTGAAGACTGATGCTGGCCTTTGCACCAGCTGTGGGTGCGAGAACCGCTCCAACCCCGAGGGGCTGGAAGAACAAGCTGTGATGGGACCACATTCCTCTAGTGGGCCCATTCAGACGAGGATTTCTGGGAGACTGTTTTCCTGGGCCACAAGCAGGGAGCTGGATGGGAAGCAGGCTGCTGGGATTAGAACTGTTGCCCATATGGGATCCTAGTGTCTGCAAGGCAAGGACTTTAGCTGCCAGGCTACCACACTGGGTGCCACATGTTCATTTGAAACAGAACTTTCTAGAGAGTATTTGCTACTTAGTTCTAATCCCAGCAGCCTGCTTCCCATCTTCCCATCCAGTCCTTGACTGAGGCCTGGGAAAGCAGTCCAGAGGGACGGCCCAAAGCCATGGGACCCTGCACTCGCGTGGGAGACCCGGGGGGAAGAGACTCCTGGCTCCAGGCTTCGGATGGGCTGAGCTCAGGCCGTTTCGGCTGCTTGGGGAGTGACTGTCTCTCCAGCTCTCTGTATATCTGACTTTCCAATAAAAAAAATATATTTAAATTCAGGGTAAACTTCGTTTTTTCTCCCCTTCCACGGGCTAAAAAAAAAAAAAAAAAAGCAACAGAGTATTTAAAGACTGAAACTTAGTAATTTTATTCCAAGAAGTAAATACAAACCACACTAACCTGTGAAAATAAGGGAAGTAAATGATTGGTCTCTGGCAATTGCCTAACATGCCGTGAGCCAACAGGCTCCGGGGAGTGCAGTGCAAAGTCTGGGACTCAGCGAACTCGGTCGACACCCACAAAGTAGACATCCGGGTGGCAGAGCAGAGCTGCACTGAGCCATATAGGCTGAGGACCCAATTCGATCAAAGTTTTCTATGAACAGAAATCAATCCATCCGGCTGTTTCTTTAATCCCACCAGCCCAAGCCGGGCCCCTGAGGGAACGCAGGCCCCGCGGTGGGCAGACAGGGCGGCTCCTCCACCAGGCGCAGCCGCGCGGGTAGGCACGCCTGGGCAGCCCTGGGCCCCGCGCGCCGCGCCCCGCAGGAGCCGCACCCTTCCGCGCCCCGCTCCCGCGGCCGCCCGCACGCGTCTCACCTCAGACGGCCCGAGTCCCGCGCCCCGCCGGCCCAGGACGCCCGCGGGAGGCGGGGTCGCATCCTGTGGCAGCTCAGGCCCCGGCGAATCCCCCCGTGGGCGTCAAGCACGGGGCGGGACCCTGGAGGATCTGTGTCCAATCCCGTTCGCTGACGGGCGCGGGGCGGGACCCTCGCGGCCGGCTGTCCAATCGTATTGCCCCGGCCCGGCGCGGGGCGGGACTCTCGCGGCCTTCACCTTGGCGGCCCTGAGGGACCGGGCCGGTGCGGCTGTGCGCGGCGAGCGGTGAGGACCGACGGGTTCGCGAAGGCTGCGCTCGGGACCCTCGGGGAAAGCGAGTCCTGTGGGGCTGAGCCGAGCCGCGCGGGACCGCGGAGGGGCCCGCATTTGGCGCGTCGCCCGTGGGGTGCCCTGAGGTTGGGCCTCCGGGCCAGGCTGGCTGTGGTGGTCTTGTTGGGGGTTTTTGTTTTGTTTTGTTTTTCTTCTCTGCGGTGTCGGCCTGTGGAGTGTGCAGAGCCGCGCTGGGGCTGGCGGGGAGGGCTCGGGCTTCCCCGGACGGTGGCCACGGGTGCCCGGGCACTCCGCGGGTGGGTCCTGGGCCAGAGCCCTGGATCTAGCTGAATCCCGTCCCCCGGCAGTCTTTGTGCGTGTGTTTGCAGTCAGGCTGCGTCTGGTACCATTTTCCAGTTCCTAGAGTTTCTGCCTTCCACCATCTTTCACCGGCTTTTGTTCTTTTCCTTTCTTTCTTTTTTTCTTCCAGTCTCCGGTCTAGTTCACATCCCTGCTATCTCAGAATTGCCCTGACAGCTTTCCGGCAGCCCCACGCAGTCAGTCCTCCGCGTGTACTGGTAGGTGGTCATCTGTTCCTTTTCTTACTGTCCCTGCTTCCCGTGGGAGTTGGCCCCTCTGTGCAAGTGCAGGCATCACTCTCGGCGCTTTGGGAGTTGTGTCGTTTCATCTCTGCGGGTGAAGAATTTCTGACGGCTCTTGTGCGGCGTGCGTCGGTGTAACTCATCCTCTCCCCGGTGCCTGCCGTTGAGTTCAGCTGCAGCGGGTTTCAGATGCCTCCTGTGGTCGCTGGAGTCTGATCAGCACCGGGAGTTCAGTAGGAAGCAGCTTATTTCCGCAGCAAGTGCTTTGCTGCCGCTGGCCAGAAGTCGGCAGCTTAGCTGATGCACCGCTGTCGGATTGGACCGGCCCTCGGCTCCCTGGTCCGCAGGGGGCGCGCAGAAGCCAGTTTCCGCAAGTCTGGTTTCTTTGGGTGCTCCTGTGGTGCTCCCTGAGGAATGAATTCTGGCCCCCTGCTCTCTGACAGACTGGCTCTCAGTTCCTTCCGGGGCGCTGGCATTTGGAGTGGCGGTTCGAGTCCTCATCTTGCTTTAAATCTGCGGCCGTCCTCCGCTGCAGTTCTGGGTTAATCACAGTAGGTTCCCCTAGGTGATGGCCACATTTGAGGTCAGGTATCCTTGTGGATAACCCAGTTGGAACGCAGGAGTCATTTATTCCCAAGTTTGAGGATTCAAATAGCAACCAAGAAGTTAAAACTAGTAAGTACTGGTGAAGGCTTCCGAATGCTTTGTAAAAGAACACGATGAAGCAAGAACATGCCACTCACTGGAGGTTACAGAATCCAGTCCTAGCAAAAGGAAGACGTGACAGGAGCTATTTCATGCCGGTGCAGTCCCCTTGCGGAGCAGAATGGTTGTTTCCGCAGGGCCCACAGCAGGGAACACGGTCAGAAGTGGCTCCAGCTGGCACCAGTATACCACATATGCACAACAGTGGCATCGATTCTCAGATTTTAAAAAAATATCTGTAAAAGCACCTCATAAAGGCAAAATAACCAAACAAAATACGGTGAACAGGATTTTTGAAGTGGCTTTATACATATTTGGATTAGTTTGATTCCTCTGAAAATAAATGCAGAAACAGGATTGTGGTAGGATGCTGGAAATCACTTCGTGTCGATTGCATCAGCTGTCTGCACAATTAAATTACAGGAGCTTGTTGTGTGACTGACGTATTCTGTAATATTGCATAATTAGACAAGTCCTGCATTTCTTTTCCTGTGGCCTTTGAAGTGCTGTCTTAGCCCATCATCTTTTTGTCCGATGGGATCCTGCAATCTGTCAAGATATCCTGCAGGCTATTTCACCTCTCTCCTGGAGTCTAGATTTAGGGGAAAGGTTATGTTCTGAACAAATCTGGGTATAGCTTTAACCAATCACTTGACCTTTTTGAGGTTGGTTTTATTCATATAGAAAAGGACAACAGGACTTTCCAGAGGTTCTAGGAAGATCAGGGAGGTGACGTGTGTGTAACACATATTGTACATAGCATATTATAGCTGTTCAGTAAACATCCATGAGCATCTAGCATAGAGTCTATACTGTTTATTTCTTCTTTTTTTTCCCACTGACAAATTTATAAATTCCATGAGAACTGGGACCACATTCTGGATGTCCTGTGGCCCCTAAATGCTTAACTGTAATGTTAGTGAATGGGACCTTGCATATATAAAAATATGTGTGAAATTCAAGTTGTTAGTTGTGGTCTTCTTTTATTCTTTAGCTTTCATATTTGGATTCTGTCATGGAAAATCAATTGGCAAAATCAGTCGAAGAAAGAACATTTCAGTATCAGGATTCTCTTCCATCACTCCCCGTCCCTTCACTTGAAGAATCACTTAAAAAATACCTGGAGTCAGGTACGATTATGGTATTTTAGTACATGCTGGTACTCAGATGCTTACAGGTGCGATGATGCTTGGAGCTGGTGAAGGCCTAGCTGTGGCCTTTTTCTATGATCCCATACCGTTCTTTGTCTCATATGTGGATTTACCTGCAGTTTGGAAAACCAGAAAGTATCAGTGGGCTTAGGATGAAAGTAATCGTCTGCCTGTCTCCCTAAGCATCTCTGCTTGCAAATGCAATTTCCCAGCTGGGGTTTTCAAATCTTTTACATATTCTTCAGAACCTGTGATAAATGGATATTGCTTTATTACTTTTTACTGAGTATTTTAGTTGTCCTGGAAAGATGTAGACTGAGCTCTCTTACATCCGTCGTCTCTCCCTGTTCCCCTGATTTCTGCAATCCAACATCAACAATATCCTCCTGCTCTCAAAACACAGTCAGCCAGCTGCCGAGGAGCTATCACCTGACAGAACTCCCCTGACGACCAGCGGTGCTGGTCATGCTGTCCTGCCTTGGACTTTGATTTCCTCTCACTGCAGCATTTTGGGTTTCCTCCTTTTCCATTTGTTTTGTATTCAGGAATTTGCATTAGACATTTGGGTGCAGTGACAGTCCCTTAATACAGTTACGTGCAGTAGCTGTTGGATTGCTTTCCTTGCTGCCTAGAGACACTCCCGGAAGCCCCGCACCCCTGTTCTCATCACAGTTGACATGTCTTGAGCTTACTGGGATGCTGCCTTCTCTGACTCCCTGCGACATTATTGTGTGTGTGTGTGTGTGTATTTTCAAAAAATATATACATTTGATTATTTTTTTTAGAGGATATATTTGTTTAACTTGAAAAGTCAGAGTTGCAGAGAGATCTTTCATTCACTGGTTCACTTTCCAAATGCCTGCAATGGCCAGAGCTGAGATGATCCAAAGCTGGGAGCCAGGAGCTTCATCTGCATTTCCCATGTGGGTGCAGGGGCCCAGGGAATTGAGGTATCCTCTGCTTCTTTTCCAAGCCATAAGCAGGCAGCTGGATAGGAAGAGGAGAAGCCAAGACCCGAACCGATGCCAACTGGGATGCCAGAACTGCCAGAGGATTAGTGTGCTAAGCCACTGTTCCAGCCTTGCTTTTTTCTTTTTTGAAGATTTATTTATTGGAAAGGCAGAGTTAGAGACGGAGAGAAAGATGTCTGATACTGTGGTTCATTTCCCAAATGGCTGCAATGGCCGGGTGTTAGTGAGATTGAAGTCCGAAGCGCAGAGTTCTTTCTGGTACTTCGGTAATCTGTTACTGCTTTCCTGGGCCCTTTAGTAAGAAGCTGGATCAGAAGTGAAGCATCTGAGAACCGAATCATTGCCTGTGTGGGAGGGTGCCAGTGTCGGCGGCAGCTTCACCCGCTACACCAAAAGGCGGTCCCTAGAATCCTTTACTTGTAGCTTTCTCAGACGTGCCTCTTGATGTGTATGGTTTTTTTTTTTTTGTCATTTCTCTGGGAACTCAGTGAGTTCTTTTAAATTGCTACATTCTTCAGTTCCAGAGAATTAAAAAATATTTCTCTGAAAATGATGGCTTTCTTTCTTTTTTTAAAAAATAGCTTTCTTTGAACATAGTCATACTCATTCACTTAGTATTTATGTACTTATTAGGCTGCTTTCATGTGGCAGAGACTGTTGAATAATTGCCACAGAATTCATATGACCCACAAAGCTAAAAATATTTACTATTAGATCCAATTCAGAAAATGTTTACCGATCTTTTTTTTCATCTTCTGTATCACACCTGTATTTGACCATAAGTTTGTTTGTTTTTTTTTTAATTTCGTTTCATCTTATGACACAATTTCATAGGCTCTGGGATTCCCCCAACCTCTCCCCATGTCCTCTCCCCATGGTGGATTCCTCCACCTTGTTGCAGTATTACAGTTCAAATCCAGTCATGATTCCTTCATTGCAAGCATGTACCATGCATAGAGTCCAGCATCTTATTGTCCAGATAAATTCAACAGTTTCTTGGGGGGACCATCTCTGGTCTGAAAGCAGAGCTGGCAGAATATCAAAAATGATGGCTTTCTTCTCCTTTCTTTGTTCATCCTTTTGGGATTGAGTACTTTTGGATGAAGTTTTTTGTTTGTTTTTTAATTGGAGTCGGGGTTTGGGAGAGAGGAGCGAGAGGCAGCATGTGCTCCTGTCTCGTGGTTCCCTCCCCTGCTGCCTGCAACTTGTGCAACTGGGCTGGGTCCAAGTGTGGGATGCATTCTGGGTGTCTTACATGGGTGTCAGGGACCCAGCCATTTGAGCCGCTGAAGCTCTGCCTCTTGGGGTGAGCGTTGGCAGGAAGTCTGCTGTGTGTCTCAGCACCTGACCCTGTGGCGGCCTTAGAGAGGAGCCATAAGTCAGGTGTCTGAGAGGAGTTTCCCAGGGATGGTCTTAAACTGAGACGAGTTCCCCTTTCCTGTTGCTGCCTTTCCCTGTTGGGTCTGCTTACTGCTGGCTGTCGCTGTCCTTGTGTCTGTTTTGATCCTTGTCAAGAGCAGCTCTCCTCAGATCCTGAGTGTGAGACGGACCCCATGAGGCTAACTGGGAGCTCTGTGTCCATGCTGCGTCATGACGACCGTGGACATGATTATTGGGTAGAGCTGGTGAGGCATCGGGACAGAAGAGTAGGACTCTGCCCCCTGTCATCCGGTTCCCCTTGGCTTCTGACTGACAATGGCTTAATTTTCAGAGCAGTCGATGTTCATGGAATAGGGATCTGTGTCCTTTTTTTGGGACAAAAATCATTTTTGACCATGAAGTACCCTCAGTTTCTCTGGTTAGGATCTGCCATTACATTGGCATTCATGTTACATTTACGTGAATAATAATCAAGGCTCTTATTTTATCATTAATGAGATGATGTTTTATTTATCCTATTTATGTCCATTGGATTGACTTTCTATTTATTTTTGGATTTACTTTCTTTTTGAACTAATACTTACAGCTAAACAGTAGTCTTGCTTCATAAGTTTATCATTTATAATGATTCTAAAATAATTTCTCTGAAAATTGTTATCAGGTATATAATATTCACTATTTTAGTGTATTATGTATTGTTCTTCATCCATTTTCATATTGTAAACTGTCATAATACTAGGAAACTTAATAATGTGCCTTAAGACTTGTGGAATAATAGTTGAGGTAACTTGGTGGTGCTTTGTGTCTAAGTATTTTAATACACTTTTCCCTTACAGTAAAGCCTTTTGCAAATGAAGAAGAATATAAGAAAACTGAAGAAATAGTTAGAATATTTCAAAATGGAATTGGAGCAAAACTGCACCAGAAATTACTTGAAAGGGCAAAAGGAAAAAGAAACTGGGTATTTATATTTATATTATATTTAAAGTTGAATCAATTGATGGTATATAAGTAATGAGAAATTTTTAAAATGTATATAGCTTTAATTTTTAAGTTACTGCTGTAAAAATCCTTGAGTCACTGTTTCCATGCTAATCCTCGGAGTGAATCAATCACTAAAACACAACCATGAAGTTTCAAGTGTTGCAGATGGGCCCCTTGGCTGCCTGGGCAGTGCGTGACTCAGTGTGTCTGACACGGGGGCGGTGTGGCTCTGATACAGGTCATCTGTAGACCGTGTCTGGGGACAACTGAGGAAAGCAGGAGCACCGTAATGGAAATACTTAGGTAGTCTACAGGAGGAAAAGCCCATCACTGAACTGCAGTGTGCGCAGCATGCTGCAGTTAGATAAGCTGGAGGAGTTGGCACCGCCATCCCGAGGGGCCTGATGGTTTTCCACAGGGAATCTTGGGCTTCCTCAGTTCAGCCTCTGCTATGGCCTGTGACAGAGGGAGTCTCCATAATTACAAAACATTACCTTGTTTTACAAGTGATGATTGCAACTATGCCTTCATTTAAAACTGAAAAGTAAGCTTATCTTTTTATGAGTCATTGAAATTTATGATGGAGTAATACGATTTTACACCTCTACTTTCCTTTGTTCTTTGTTTTGAACCTTGAGTGATCTTAATTAAAGTGGGGTAAAGGTAAGAAGTGGTTGTTCTGCCTTTACCTATTTTGCTTATGCCACTTTCCTTAATTACTAATTATGTTTTATGACATCCATTTCATTCAAAATAACTCCAGGAAATTTGATAAGATCTGCTTACTTATGCATGAGATTCAATTGCATACTATGAAGGAGGGACGCATAGAAAGTAGAATTTAAACTCATTTAAAACCTACTAAATTTGAGTTTTTAGAATTTGAGTTTTTGTTTGGAAAAAGAAAATGGTAAATACCTTAGTAACTATTACCATGAAGTGAGAATTTACTGGGGATCTGCTACACTGCAGGGACTCTGATACTTTCCCTACTTCAGTGTGAAGGTTGGCAATATTTAGAAATCTGCAGTTCTCTGCTCCCCCAATTCTCATAAAAGCATCTCGATATCTAGTGATTTCAAGCAAGAGAACGTGTTTGTGTTAAAGGACAGTAAAGAACAAATATTGCTTGATTCCCCCCACTTTGCCCCAACAGTTACACGTCCACATATGTGAGGTAAGCTGATGCTGTCCATTTCTTCTAGCTCGAAGAGTGGTGGCTGAATGTTGCCTACCTGGATGTTCGTATTCCATCACAGCTGAATGTCAACTTTGCCGGTCCTTCCCCCCATTTTGAACACTTCTGGCCTCCAGAGGAAGGCACTCATTTAGAAAGAGGAAGTCTCATTCTTTGGCATAACTTGAACTACTGGCAGCTTTTAAGAAAGTAAGGATACCTAAGTGAATTCTGAAACAGATTTGCCTGACGTCTCAGACGGCAGAATGTTGAGAAGCTCCATTTATTTGGGATGAATACTGTATTTGTGACTGGTTGGTGTATAAGTCTAATAATGACTTCTTGCTCAAAAAACTGTTTTTAATAGAGAAAAAGTGCCTGTTCATAAAGTTGGAAACACTCCTCTAGATATGAATCAATTCCGAATGCTGTTTTCAACCTGCAAGGTTCCAGGAGTCACTAGAGATTCAATTGTGAATTATTTTAGGACTGGTAAGTAAAAACGTGCAAATGCCTTGGGGTTTGGGTAGTTGGCTATACCTTTTTCTGTGATATTGTGGACTGTGGTTTTGAAGAATGCTGTTTGTTTTCCTTTGACAAATGCAAGGCTTTCTGGGAACCATCTGAGTTGTTCTGGTTTGTTTAGATGTCTTGTGTGGGACTAGGCATTCCGCATTGTGCCTTAGCATGGCTCCGCACAAACTTGCAGCTTATGTGGTGTCTTCTGAGATACAGTGTAGCTGGAGTAGAGCTCTGAGTCAGAATCTTGAAGAGAAGCTGCAGGTATGTCCAGGACACTTTCCTTCTGCTGTCTTCTCTGCAGCGTGTCTGATCAGGTATTCGCTCCGCCGTGCCTGCCACCCCTGTTTCTCTTTGTGAATATGCTTGATTTTCCTTGTAAAAGCTGAGAGCCACACTCTGCCTGAAAGCAGATGGGTTCACATTTTGTCTATTGGCTGTCAACTTAATAGCAATTTTTCTTGGTATCTTCTTCAAATGGAAAAAAAGTCTGTATAAGTGCTATTTTTCAGTTACTTTATGAATGTTTTTGTTTTGCAAAATCAATGATGGTTTTCAGTTGCTGAAGAGTGTAATTACGAATGCAAAACAGAAGGTTTTTATGAGCCAGTTCAGCTCAGGTGAGAGGTATGGATTGCCTGACTTAGAGAACTCCACTTCTCTTGGTAAGCCCCTGCAGCTGCTGAGGGTGTTGGCTGTCCACCGACCCCGTGCTTTACTTTGATATTGCAAGCAAAAGAATTAAAGAAAGGACTGGGGAAACTGGACTGTTCATGTCGTAAAATCCAGTGTCCAAATGTAAGTGGAAATGTTAGACTGGCAATAACAAAGAGAGGACACTTGAAAATAAGAGTGATAAATCTGGTTTTGTCACTTGCCAAAGTCCTTATAAAGTAACTGAGTTATGGAGTTCATTAATAAACAGATTCATTAATAATGCTTCTTTTTTTATAGCCATTTAGACTGTTCTATACTTGGACTTAGAGCTATGCCAAGAAGTAGATGCAGATACAGTTGAGGTAATAAGTAAATGAGAGAAAAATATTGGAGGGAAATTTTATGGGAAAAATATTAGTGGGAAATTTTATGGCGCTATGACTTAATTGGTTAATCCTTTCTTTGCAAGTGCTGGGACTTGATATGAGTGCCAGTTTGTGTCCTGGGTGTTTCACTTCCCGTGCAGCTCCCTGCTTATGGCCTGGGAAAGCAGCGGAGGATTGTCCAAATTCTTGGGCCTTGCACCCACTTGGGAGACCTAGAGACACCTCCCAGCTCCACTCCGTTCTTCCTTTGGTTTGCCAGTGTACCACTCCCTGGCAGATAAATGCATGTCTCTGCCTGCCTGCCCCACCCCTGCCACATTAATCCTGCAGAACCTTTACCCTATTTAAAATTCACTCCTATCAGAGACACCTCACCTAGTAAATTTACTGGGCTAAGGAAAACCAGAAAGCCTCACTTCTTTCATTTCTGCTGTGTTATCTGTTTGTCTCTTTACTAGATGTTCCAATCTGTACTATCTCCCCTCATTTGTTTGTGTTTTTTTTGGAGGGGGAGTAAGATTTATTTGAAAAAGTGACAGTGACGAGCAGACAGAGCCCTTGAGTGTGCCTCCACCTGATCCATTTCTCGGTGGTTGCTTTCCTCCTGAGGCTGCACAGACCTCCTTGTCCTTTAAACAAAGCAGTTCGTGGTTGTCCTGGTGTCTTCGCACTTGCTGCTCTTGTGAGGTTGCTGTGGCTCACTTCATTTGGTTCCGGGCTCACACATCTCCTCTGAGGCTCATCCTGAGTCAAGAGTGCCTCTTGTCACCCCTACCCCACCTCATTTCCAACTGTTTATTGATGAATTTGGTAGCTGATATATTTTCCTTATTTTCCAGCCCTAAATGTTGGAAAGGATGTGGTCAGTAGATGTTAGCAGTAAAACATCATGGTGGCAAAGGCTCTGGTGGTGAAAGGATCTGAACGGCTGTGAAGGAGAAAGGAGACAGAAGGGTTTGGAAGTAGCCGTAAGGGGTGAGGGAGCTCGGCCTCTCGGCTCCCAGATCTTGAGAAAGTGGGGTGTCCGTGAGTCTTCCGAGATGGTGAGTAGATGTGAGGAGCTGCCTTGGGTGAAGCGCTCAGCAGCCCTCAGAGTGGCACACTGCTTCAGAGAGTTCTTGGGAAAATGGATGAAAGGAGAAATGTTATTTCGGTGCAAACTTTTTTCTTTAAAACTTAATTCATTTTCTTTTTATTTGAATGATAGACTGAGCTTTCAGTTGCTGGGTCACTCCCCAGATGCTCTCAACAGTTAAGCTGGTTCTGGCTGAAACCAGGAGTCAACCAGGTCTCCTAATTGGATGGCGGGTACCAAGTGCTTGACTCTCAGGGTGTGCACCAGCAGGAGAGTGGTGATGCAGGGACTGGGCCTTGAACCAGGCTTTCATGATATGGAATGCCTGTTCTAAGTGGCAGCTTACCTGCCAGAAGCCCACCCCGGCGCAGAAAGTCTTTGCAATCCATGCCTTGTACCGTATCTTCATGAGCTTTCTGAAGGCCTCATACGTGGCTACCTTTCTTTTCACATTGTCAAAGGAAGTAGTATCAAAAAAATGTGCTAAGTGAGCACTGTCCGGAGTTTAGAGTGAACAGTTCTTGGGGGAATTAAGGGATGCCAAAGAAATTACAGAATTCAGTAGTGATTTTTACAAAATGTTACCAGAGCCTTAATTAAAAGGACAAATTGGAACAAAGTTTTTCCCTTTCTCACTCAGGTTTATGATTTTGTTTTCTACTGAAAACTTATTTTTTAAAGAAATCAGAGCTAGTCAAATTGTCTGACAGTAAATCCCAAAAAGGATCTTATGAGTTCAGATGGTTCTCTTCCTGTGTTAAATTTGGACATTTCTATATGATTCTCAGGCTATATAAATATTTGATAGTCTCATAGATTTGTAATTACCAGCTACGGATACATTTAAAGCGTATGTATTTATATCATAGTAACTGAAATTATTTTCACATTATATAGTTGATGAGTATATGACTTTTAAAAATCACTTTGCTCCTTTTTAGTTTTGGGAACTGTGAGTGTTCTGTTTGTTTTTCTAGAGAGCGAAGGGCATTGCCCGAGCCACCTTGCGGTGCTGTGTCGCGGCCGCGTTTTCGTCTTTGACGTCATGCGTGAAGGAGGTGTGCTCACGGCTCCGGAGATTCTCAGGTTTCCTGCTACTTTGTCTCATTAGCTCTTACACTTCAGCTTGAGTTAAACAAAAATGTGTAAAGATACATTTCTGTAAGGTGGTGGTAGAATGAAAAACAATAATTTCACACCTGCTGATTTCTAAAGATTTTTATCATATTTTTCCTGAGACGCAAGGAGTAGACTAGAAAATAATTTAATTTTGTTATATGCACTTACTGTTACACTTAGAGAAAAGGAAAATATTATAGATATTACCAGTTGCTTTCTCTGTCTCCATTTTTTAAAATAATAAACTCATTTTATTTTTGATAATGTTTGTATAGTTAAGAGGGATGCACGCCCATGTGAACCTCTGAGGGTGGGCGTGCTGAGGAGTCGGGTAAGTGGATGAGACAACTGCCTCCAATGGAGAGAGAAGGGGAGAGGACCACTGCCAGCAACCCAACCACATCAGTACCCAGGATGGGAGGATGGCCACCCAGTGTCATCCCCGCGTCCCCAGTGTGGAGCATGCTCCAAGGGCACGGCTTAAGTGGTCCTGACAGTTCGGAGATGTCGTCAGTTTCTTTGCTCCAGGGCTGAGGAAAGCCGTCCAAGGTCCGCTGGCTGACACAGCCACCTCAGCTTCAGTTCATGCAGGTGCTTTTCTGGGAGAGCTGTCAGATTTGCTCTGCCCTCCATGGTACTAGATGCATTTGCTCAGGCCTCTGAACTGGTTGCCATATCCTCCATGAGCATCTGGGCATGCTGTCTGCTGCACAGGCCTCAGCAGCTGGGCAGACCTAGTTCTGACACATGCACTCTACGGTCAGACCACAGACCCTATGGTTTTCACCGTAGTTGTGTTTTTTTTTTTTTTAAGATTTATTTATTTTTATTGGAAAGTCAGATAACAGAGAGGAGGAGAGACAGAGGGGAAGATCTGTCTGCTGATTCACTCCCCAAGTGACCGCATCAGCTGGAGTTGAGCCAATCCAAAGCCAGGAGCCAAGAGCTTCTTCCGGTCTCCCATGCAGGTACAGGGTCCCAGGGCTGTCCTCAACTGCTTTCCCAGGCCACAAGCAGGGTGCCGGATGGGAAGTGGAGTAGCCCGGATTAGAACTGGTGCTCATATGGAATCCCGGCATGTGCAAGGCCAGGACTTTAACTGCTATGCTACTGCACCAGGCCCTTTACTTTAATTTTTCTACCCAGTGTTTTATTGATTACCAACAGGTATTGTTATGATATGGACATTAGTCCTTTATTGATCATGCACATTATAAATTTTTATTCTACTTAAAAAATTTAAAAATTATGCATAATTAATAATTAATGTAGGCAAATTTATGTTTTAGGTCTTCTGCTTTTTTTCAAGATTGAATGCATGTGATCTGTCAGTTTAAATTGTGATCTGCTTTTCTTGGGTAACAGAAAGTTTGATTAATTGTTTAGCAATCAGGAGACTTCACATACTAACATGGGTTTGTGATTTTTTTTTTAAAGTGGTGACAAGTTCTAACAGCTCCAGCCTGCGTTCCGGCCTGGCAGCAGCGAGCTGGAGCTGGGCCGTCTGGAGAGCGCCCGTCGCAGGCTGTGTGCTCTATTCTGGCTTCCTGCTGCCCCGGCATGCCTCGCACCCGGGCCAAGTGTTCCCCCCGCTGCCCTTTCACTTACACTGGCCTGTTTTCTTACTGCTTACTGTTGTTCTTACTGCTTAATTTTTAAAAAAAGATTTCATTTGTTTCTGTTTGGAAGGAAGAGCTACAGAGAGAGGAGATTCTTCCATTCACTGGTTCACTCCCCAAGTGGCCGCACTGGCTGGAGTTGGATCAGTGTACAAGCTGGAGCCTGGAGCCTCCTCCAGGTCTCCCATGTGAGTGCAGGAGCCTAAGGCCCTGAGCCATCTTCTGCTGCTTTCCCAGGCTCTAAACAAGGAGCTGGATTGGAAGCAGAGCAGCGGAGACTCCTACCTGCATCCATAAGAGAGGCGTTAGCACCGCAGGTAGATGCTTCGAGTGGTACACCACCATGACAGCCCCATTATGGCTTAGCTGTAACAGTACATAGTTTTTTGTTCCAATATCAGCTAGAAACAGTAGGTCTTCCTGCAGGAGTGTAGTATTGGCAGGCCTAACTGGCGTTTGTCTCACACTCCTTGCATGCCTGTCTTCCTCAGTGGCCCAATCCCATCCAATCACCTGAATCAGAACTGCTGACCTGACCTTCACCGGCTCGCTCTCGTCCTAGAGTAAGCAGAGCAAAGGCCTGCTTATTTGCTTTGGATGGGTTTCTTGAATTCTTTCCATCTTTCCTTCTGCTTTGCTTTTGTCTCGGGTCTCATGGCATCTCTGCTGTTCATTATCTCAGTTTCTGGGTTTTCTTTTTTCCACATAGTCTCCAAGTCTAGTAGCTTTAAAAATCAGTTGTGATTTGATTTCAATGTTGGCTTAAAATTATTTCTTAAAGATTTATTTTATTTATTTTTTATTGGTGAGATTTACAGAGAAGCAGAGACAGAGAGAAAGATCTTCTGCCCGCTGGTTCACTTCCCAAGTGGCCACAACACTGGAGCTGAGCTGATCCAAAGCTGGGAGCCTGGAGCCTCTCCTGGGTCTCCCACGTGGGTGCAGGGTTCCAAGGTTTTGGGCCGTCCTCAACTGCTTTCCCAGGCCACAGGCAGGGAGCTGGATGGGAAGCGGGGGGGCAGTTTGGCCATGAACCAGCACCCCTATGAGATCCTGGTTTATGCAAGGCGAGGACTTCAGCCACCAGGCTATCTTGCCCTGCTTAGCATTCTTAAACAGTTACTGGTGGCTTAGGGTACGGCCCCAGTTCCCCAGCAGAGGCCTGGGTTCACCTGAGGCCAGCCTCTAGTCCATGTCCTGTCCTTCCTCTCAGGGCTCATATTTGCATCCTGCTGCTCTACTCGCAGCCCTTGGGACACAGCAGACCGTCTCTGGTTTTTGGATACGCTCATGTTTTCGTTGTGGAATGCCCTCTCTGGCCTTGTCCACTTGGCAAATTCTCAAGTTTATGTTTCTGTTCACATGTCACCAGGATGTTTCCTCATTTCCTTTTTTTGTTCCTTTCTTCAAACTCTGAAGAGTTAACTTCTATAAGCTCTGGTGTAACTTAATATTTACTCCTGAATTTAATGTGGAATTGAAACTCTGGAGCTCTAGGAGGATTAGTAAGGAGGCCAGGGTTTTGTTTTGTTTTTGTTTTCTTGTTGGTTAATACAATGCTTAGCACAAATTAGGATTTCATTTTGTGTGTGTGTTGTGTGTCTGTTTAAAAAACACAGGTTTGTCTCTATCAACTGAATGAGCAGGCCAGACCTCTGCCTTTAGGAAATGTTGCCTAAAAACTTAAGACATAATTAAAAGTGTAAACCAGATTGGTCAGACCCTAAGATGGGTGTTTTAGGTAGCATGTGGAGAAAAACAAGGAGGTTGAAATTTCCTGCCATAGCTTTCAGAATTTATGTTGGCTCCTGCCAGGACTCTCCAAGGGATCACCAAATGCAGAAGCTCAGTCTTCAACTGGAGCAAAGTCAGGAGTCAGTTCAGACAGGTGAGCAGGAAGAGAGGCAAGAAAGTGGCCCCATCTCCAACAGAGATGCCTACTGTGGACCAAAGATGCTTTACCTGCCCCAGGGGCACCGGTAGTGTCAAATAAAAGAGTAAGGAGGAGTTTGGCAGGAAGTAAATCAGTTATCAATGTCATAAGGAAAATTATTAGAGGAAATCATGATGATCAATAGCTAATTTTTTTTTTCAAATTTTGAACGCTGAAGCCACAGATGAGGAGTGTCTAAGTGGAGATTTTGGAAGTGCCTTACATTGTGTTGGGCACCTTCAGTAAGAATCCTTGGAAGCTTTGAGTGAGGAAATGCGTTAGCATGTGCCGTAGGGAAGTAGGGATTTAACTGATGAAGATTTATCTCTTTACAGCAAAGTGTTATGATTGACCTGTTGTCAGTTTGAAGGAAATTCATGAGAATGGGGGCATAGAGTCCTGGGGAGATTAGTTTATCCTGTAAGAGAAGCTTGAAATCATAATGATTAAAGTAAGAAAATGGTGTATATGAAAACATTCAAAATGGTATGTTTTTGGTACCTCATGTTTTTTTAGGTAAGACACAAGTATTAGTTGGATATATAGTAGTTATTATGATTTTTACATGTAAATAGACATGCTTAATAATTCCATCACAATAGGAAGTATGTGATATTTGTAAGATTGATTAGCTGAATATTTTCAAGGTCTCCATTGTAAAGGACATTCACTTAAGCCTTGGAAGTGCACCACAGCACAAATCACGTCAGCCAAACTGAATTTTCTTTATAGAAATTGTTGTCTAATACACTCTTGGTATCAATGGAACACACAATCCCCTTTTTTAAAAACCGGTGTGGGAAATGATCGCTGTTGACATCAAAAGTCTGTTTGGATCATGTATTGAAACATTCAAATATTGACCAACTCTATGAGCTGTTGGCAGCCAGAGCAGCTCCCATTCCTTGTCCTCCGCTGAGTGCTCCTTCATCTTCCGTCAGGCAGCTGACACACATCCACAACAGGTGCCACAGTGAGCCCGAGGGACCTGGGGTAGCAGCGCTGACCAGCGAGGAGAGGACTCGCTGGGCCAAGGTAGTGATGGCTTCTCGTCCTTGAGGACCTTTCCTCTAGCGAGCTGTGTGGGGATTTTCTGGCTTTATCGTAGATGAGTTCTAACTGGTAATCATCCTTTCTTGACCCTTTAGGCTCGAGAATATTTGATTGGTCTTGATCCAAAGAACTTGACTTTGTTAGAAAAAATTCAGAGCAGCTTGTTCGTATATTCCATAGAGGATAGCAGGCCACATGTAACATCAGAAGATTTTTCCCAGGTAATTGTGTTAACTGCTATTCTCACATTTTCTTTCTTCTTTTGTTGCTGCTGTTGTTTTTAAGACATCTCTATTTATTTGAAAGGAAGTTACAGAAAGAGATATTCCCCCATCTGCTGGTTCTCTCCCAACATGTCTGTAATGGCCAGGGCTGGGTCAGCTTGAAGCCAAGGACCTGGAACCTCATGTAGGTCCTCTGCACAGAATGACAGAGGCCCAAGTGACTTAGCCATCGTCTGCTGCTTTCCCAGTCACATCAATAGGGAACTGGATAGGAAGTGGAGCAACCTGGTCTTGAACCAGCACACATAGAAGATGGTGATGTCACAAGAGTGGCTTTACCCACTATGCTGCAATGCTGGCCCTCCTTTCCTTCTTCCCCCAGATCTGTTGGAGGACTCTTAATGTGTGAGGAATATGATATTTTCTTTTCTTTTTTAATATTTAGGATTCTTAAACTCTTTGTAAAGATGTGAACTGTGCATGTGCCAAATTGAAGCTTATGTAGCAAAAGCGCTTTGCCAAGTCTCGCTACATTGTTCAGGTCTGTTCAGGTGTGCTTTGTGCTTCCTTTGAGGAGTATGCTTGTTGGGGCCAACTTCAGCTCATTGCTGCCTGCCCTTTTTGTTCATTGTGCCTGTGGAATGTTACACTGGAGCAAACGAACTTTTCTTGACACATGTGACAGGAAGGCTTACCTGCCCCTCACCCCAGTATGCCCCGATACCTTGTTTGGGAGAGTCTGTCCTCCAGGGAGCATCACTTCCTGTAAGAAGCAGCTCTGTCATTTGGAATGAAGTGATATTAAGGGTGAATGGAGCCTTGCTTTGTTTCTTTCCCCTGCCCTCCTTAAGCAATGCTTTTGTTTCTTGGGAAAGAAAAGATACGAAAGCATATCAGTGGAAGCATCATAACCTTTTGAAAATACTTAAATTATTTCATAATACATGCAAGAATGTTTATTAATAGAAGAAAATAATCCAGGATTGAAAAAAAAAACTTACAGGTAGAAAAGAAGTTTTCTTTAGCTGCTTTTTTGTTTTGAGAAGAAGGTTGAAACTGATTGTGAATACATTGTAAAATATTGCTGTGCTCCTGTGTTATGAAATGTGTGACATGTGTTTGCTTTGTATCATTTTTTTTAAAGTAAAGCAAAACAGTGTCCGAGGTTATACCTCCGGTGTAAGGTGTAACCGCTGAGTGACTGCTTCCTGAGTCACTGCTTGCGGCACTTGCACTCAAGTTGTCTCCGGCTCCAGGGAGCCTCTTGCTGGTGACCGCCCTGGGAGGCAGCAGACTCCGGCTCCAGGACCCGAGACCCTGTTGCCCATTTGGGAAACCTGAACGGAGTTCTCGGCTCCCGGCTGGATGGGCATTTGGGAAGTGAGCCAGGAGATGACAAATCTCTCACCATCTGTCTTTCAAGAATGAAAATAGGCAAGCGACTTGGAAAACATATATCGCAGTGTTGCTCAAACATTTTGAACTTGGTACTTAGAAACTAGATTGCTTGTGTGTGCATGTACCCACAGAGATAAAGTGGTTTTATAAAACTTGGAATTTGTACTGTCTGATAGAATATGATATTTCTGTTGTATTTTGCTGTATTTCGCTTGCAAAAGGGTTCACTGTGATGAGGTAAGATGACGTCATGATGCATTAATAGGTCAAGAAAGCTGCAGTGTAGAGCACAGCTTCAGTGGAACATGAGTTCTGACTAAACTTGAATGATAACCCAAGGCCACGTGCTCTTCAGGTTGCAGAAGCCTTGTCTGTGTTCCAGTGTTTTCTGGAAACATCCGTGAATGTTGTCTCATCATCCTGCTACTATAGTTTTTTTTTTCAACTTGAGATTTGGGAAATAGCTCAACTTGGGCTATAATAATCTCTGAGGTTTAACTGTTAATAAATCTAATTGAACTGAAGAGGCAAAGAGATGATATCAGTTTTCAAGATGAAAATACAAGCCAATGTTAACATTATTTTAACTTGGAAAATAATCTTTGTTTTAGATCTTTACAATACTCTTTAGCGGAGATCCTGCAGTACGCTGGGGTGACAAGTCCTATAATTTGATTTCCTTTTCTAATGGAGTATTTGGCTGTAATTGTGACGTAAGTAAACTGTTCCAGTTTTCCCCTCACTTTTAATCTCTTGGTTAATTTTATGCCAGTGACCTGTGATGCGCTGCAGTGTATCAGAAGTTAGCACCTTTTGATATTACGGCATTATGATTCCCAGGGACAGCAGAATATGGGACAAATGGTCTACTGTAGAAAGGCCAATACTTTGGGGTATAGCTGCAGAACAGAATTTGCATGCTATTTGCATGAAGTGGCAGCTCACAAAGCCACCGTTAACTACCTGCTGGGAATGACAGCCTGCTTTACAACAAGGTGTTACTTACATGTATGTCCTGTGCGTAAGAAGCTGAATGTGACTGTATTTCTAGGTTCCAAGACTTACCAGGTAATTCATGACTTTTCTAAAATGACACATCATCTTCTCTGCTCTGTGAATATTAAAATTCCTGGAAAATGCTACCATTATTGATTTTCATAAAAATATTTACTAGCTGTATCTTGTAGCTGTCATTCAGAAGGTTTATAGACCAAGACAGTTTGAAGAAACCTACAACAGAAGTCTGATGATTGATTCAGTGTGTGTCGAGTGATAAAAACCTAAAACAGGCTGGCATTAAGAAATACCAGGCCACTCCTAAGTGTGGGTAATGCCAACAATATTCATATGCTTTCACTAAAAGTGTCTTCCACTTTCCTGGCACAACTTTGGCTTCCTTGCTAAGTACACTGCCCAAAGTTATGGTCACACCTTTGACTTCAGTAGAAATAGCTAGGTTTTTTTCCTAATAATTGCAGCCTTAGTGTTGGAATCGTTCTGCTTAGTTGTGATTGGCCTGGGTGGATCAGGTTGGGATCCGCATGACCATCCTAGTCTGGCAGAAGACATTGAGCGGCTTCTGTCCTCTCGTTATAGCATGCTCCTTACGATGCAATGGTAATGGTGAACATCGCCCACTATGTTGACGAGAAAATTCTAGAGAATGAAGGAAGGTGGAAGGTATGTCAGCTCCCGTGTGCATTCTTTCCCTCCAGTATCTGTATAGAGAAAATGTTTTTAAGTCTTCTTTATTTTCAGGGCTCAGAAAAAGTACGGGAGTTACCGCTTCCCGAGGAGCTCGTCTTCACAGTGGATGAGAAGGTGTTAAGTGACATCAGCCAAGCTAAAGCCCAGTATCTCAAAGAGGCAGGTGTTTGCCTTTCTCTAAAAATTGAAATACCTTTTTTTAAAAAAAAAAATAAATGTGGCTGTCCTCTGAGCATGTCATCATAACACATTTAAATGTTATAAGCTCAATATGTTTAATTCGGGTTCATGAAAATGCCACCGTTTGTCTTGAACTCTTTTTGCTAGGCATCTGATCTGCAGATTGTATCGCGTGCCTTCACGTCATTTGGCAAAAAGCTGACCAAGAAGAAGACACTTCATCCCGACACGTTTGTTCAGCTTGCACTCCAGCTGGCCTATTACAGGCTACACGGACGGTGAGGCCTGCTGGTGTTCTGTTTTAAGATCCTTTTTTTCTCCTCAAAGACACATGTATTTTTGTTTATTTATTTATTTATTTATTTATTTATTTATTTATTTATTTGAAAGAGTTAGAGAGAAGGAGAAAGAGCAAGAAATCCTGGATCCACTGGGAACTCCTCAAATGACTGGAGCTGGGCCAGACCAAAGCAGAGGCTTAGAGCTTCATCTGGGTCTCCTACATGGGAGCTCCTTTCTCAGGGAGCAAGGCCTGAAGCAGAGCAGCCAGGACACAAACCTGTGCTCATCCAGGATGTCAGAGGTGGAAGGTGGGGCTGTAACCTGCGGAGTCCTGGTGCTGGTCCCCATTATCACAATAGCGAGGTCCCACGTGTATCATTTCCCCTCTGAGCTTTCTCTTTTTCCAGTTGTCACCCTATTTTACTTTGTACTTCCATCCAGTTTGTGGTTGTCAGTTTTAATTTGCTGCTTTACCTCTGTGTTCACTGGGTGCTTTTCAAGTGTCTCCTGCCTTCAGCAGGGACCTCGCCATTATTGGGCATTTTCTTGTAAACTCAGTTTTCTGATTGGTTCAATAAAACTTAGCATTTTAATAGATTATCCAGCATTTACTCATTTTGGGGATAGCAGAAATAGTAGCCCCTGGCACCTGCTTTCTTATCCAGTCTGAGTCTATCTGTTTTTAAATGTGATCTTATCGGTAATTTTCTTCTTAGGATCAGTTACTGAACTTGATTATTTCTCTTGGTGGTGTCATGGCTTGCTAACTTTTCACAGTCCTTAGAACCTTGCATCGTTGCCCATGCATTTGAAGAACAGTCATTTCCATTCTTTAAAGGGTGGATTTGGTAGGTAAATACTTGCCAGCTCCTTGTGTGCGCTGGACTGTCTCTGGGACCATGGTAAAGCCATGAGGCTGTTTCTGGGTCCCGAGTCAGGGCTAATGACAGCAGGTGTATTCCAGAGGGGTGAGCAGATGCGGCTCCCCCGTGGTCCCTGGGTGGGAGAGACTGCCCAGGTCAGGGCTGGAGCTGGGTCCTGGGGCTGCTGAGATGACAGCCTGCATTCCAGAGCTCCCCCAGGGCACTGTCCCACGGGCTGTTGGTGGAGGAAGGCTCAGAACGTTCTGTCCAGCATCTTGCTGATCTTACCCCAGGGGCTCATGTCCAAGCCTTCTCCCTTATGTTTGTCCAGTCTTGAGCATGTTGTTATTTTGGACAGGAAGCTGGATACTGTTTCATTCTAACCGTGCAGCAGTGCTGCCTAATAAGAGGAGAATACAGGCCAGATGTAGTATTGTAAACTTCTGTTAGTCATTTTTTAAAAAGAAGTGAAATTACTCTAATAGCATACTTAACTCATGTCAAAATATTTTAACATATAAACAATGTAAACACTATTACTGAAATATGTTTGCATTAACTCTTCAAGATCTGATGTCTCATTTGGCCCAGTACACTTTATTTTGAAGCAGCCACACTCTGTGCTCCGACATGTGGTTGACCGTTTCCTTCAGCTCTGCCGCGGTAGTTGTCTTCCGGAGACCTGATCTCCCCCAGTTGAGACGTGGCTGCTTCTTGAGGTGTTATTGATTGTTACGTTGAAGAGAAAGTGCTTGGGGACCCGAGAGGCCGACAGGTAGCTTACAGTGTATAGGACAGTCTCCCACATGACAAATATTGCCTAGTCTAACATGTCATTAGCACTCACATGGGGAGACCTGACTGTAAATAAGGGTATTTTGTTTGGAACGAGGGTTTCTTTACTTTCTGATCGGCAGTTAAAGAGGAAGATCCAGTTGGCAATGGCATCATTTTTTAAACAGATTTATTTGGTACAATGACAGACAAATTGATGTGCTTGTCTGCTCCCCAGATGGTTGCCAACACAAGGGCTGAGTCAGGCCTAAGCCACAAACCAAAAACTACATCCTGGTCTCCCATGTGGGTGGCAGGAACCTAGGAAGATCCTCGAGCTGACCATCAGCTGCTTTCTAGTCCCATTCCCAAGAAGCTGGATCGGAAGGCGAGCAGTTGGGACTTACTTGGACCAGTGTTCTGAAATTGGATGCTGGCATCACAAGCAATGTTTCAACCCACTGTGCCAGTTAGACCTGCCTGCCCAGTTAGACACAAAGAGATGGCCTTGCCATATCTCTGCAGGCAATCCTGTGTTACCATATGGGGGTCACTGGATTCAGACTAGCAATTCATAATTCTTGAGGAGAATTTGAATGTTTGTTTCAGCTGTAACGTTACTCCTGACCAGGCTTCCTGCAGTAGTGGACAGCTTGGCACGAGTGTCGGCGCTGCTTCATTATGGCACAGCAGGTGCACCAGACACTTTTCTATTGATCTGCTTCAACGCAGTAACAGAACTAACAATGCAGATCAGACACTGACATTATGATGAAGTGTGCTGTTAGTACCCCTATTTGTAGCTGTCTGTGCTTTTAACACAATATGACATTAAAAACATCCATATTCTCACTTCGTTTAAGACTGATGATAGGGATCTGTGGCTTGAACCACTCTGCATTCCTGTGCGTCTGTAGTCACACATTCCTCAGGGGCTCTGTTATCCACAACAGCGGCAGTGGACAAGATGTCTGAAACCCAGGAGATGTACTCTTTTGAAAGATGAATGCATTTTAAAGTCAGAGGTACGTAGAGAGGGAGGGACACAGAGGCCTTCCGTCTGCTGGTTCAGTCTCCAGTGGTTGCAGTGATCACATCTGGACTGGTCTGAAGCCAGGAGCTACTTGTGGGGCTCGTATGTGGCTGCAGGGGTCCAAGGACTTGAGCCATCCTCTGCTGTTTTCCCAGGCCTTTAGCAGAGAGCTAGATCTGAGGGGCAGCAACTAGAACTGAAATTGGCACCCAAATGGGACTCTGGCACTGCAGGCAAGGGGTTAGGCGGCTATGCCACCACCTGCCCCCTAAGAGACTTATTTCGAGCTATGTGCCATACTACTTTCTCACTTGTTATTGGTAACTTTCCCTAACACATTCCTGATTGGCATATACGCTGAATCCACAAACGTACTTGCTGCCACCTTGCTCACGGCCCCTGCAGCTCTCCCATTATTTCATTGTGTTTTTAGGATCAACCAGATTCTGGGCTCCAAGTAATGAGTCACTCCTAACTAACTCAAGAAAATGCCTTGTAATTCGTAGTATTTTTTTTTTTTTTTGCCAGTTTTCTTATCTCCTACAGTACCGTTCCCATAAGCCTGTCCCAAATAACTACGTCTAAAACTGTCAGCTCTCCCCATAACCATCTTTAGGAATCGCACTAGCAGCAGAACTTTAACATATCTTCTAAAAACCAAATTTTCCTAGTAATGCATTCAGATTCTCTTAACTTCCTGGGAGTCAACCCTTGCAGTTGTATACCGCCTATCATCGTATTTCAATCTGTTAGAAGCTAATGAACAAATAGATAGAAAAACAGCCCCAAGACTCCCACTTCAAAATAATAGCATCAGTAATTTCAAATCAGAAAAGCTTGGTCATACTTTATTTCTTCTCTTAGCTAATTTCACTTTGTTAGTCAAGTTGCTAGACATCTGATTTCCCTGGGGAATTTACTAAGATTAGTTAACAGTGACTAACCAGAGCCGTTGTTGCTATATAATGTAGCAGCATGTGTAGAATCCTCACAAAGACCAGTCAGCCCCCTTATCGTCAGAAATCACTCAGTCCTCAACATTTGCAAGACCAGTAACAAGCTCCCCCTCCTGACAGCTCTCTGACCTGGTCTCAGATGTGGTAACCCGTTCCTTTTGCTGCCTTTTGCCTTATGAACCACAGTGGCAAGTCTGCGCCTGAAGTGCGTGTTCACGCTGCAGTGTAGGTGGCAGGAGGCAAGGACTGCTGGGAGCTAGAAGCAGCTGAACCATGAAGCTGCTCGGGTGATTGGAGCAGACTTTGGCTGTGCAGTGTGTGAAGGCATGGTTGAAATGTTCCACCCTGTGTTGCAGGGCTTAGTCATGGAGTAAGTCAGCTTCATTAGGCAACTGTATCATCGTGATATTAGGACATGTGCTTTCTTACAGTACACTGGTTTGGTTTTGTTTTTCCTGTAGCCCTGGTTGCTGTTATGAAACAGCAATGACAAGGTACTTTTATCATGGCCGTACAGAGACTATGCGACCGTGCACTGTGGAAGCAGTCAGATGGTGCCAGTCCATGCAGGATCCTTCTGCCAGCGTGAGTATTCCAGGGACTGTACCACATTCAGTGTTCGAAGGAGCAGGGCCATGGAATAACCAGCTTGTGTGCTTTCCATCCCTAAGAGCATGAGATTTGTTGAGGTGTTTGGTACCAGATTTTCAAAGACATTTGCTCATTTGCCCATTTGCCAGTGAGTGTGTATCTATCAAGACTAACAGGAAAGACCTGGAACAAAGTACATTTGTATCATTTTCTTCACTACGTGAGCTCTCGGTTGTGCGGAGCGGACGCACTGCTGGAACATGCCAATGGGGTGCATGGCTCTCACGCAGGGTCCCGAGGACATGCCAGTGGGGTGCACGGCTCTCACGCAGGGTCCCGAGGACATGCCAGTGGGGTGCATGGCTCTCACGCAGGGTCCCAAGGACATGCCAGTGGGGTGCACGGCTCTCACGTAGGGTCCCGGGAAGGCAGCCTCGCCTGTTGCTGGAGGGTGTGTCCGACTTCTCCAGAACCAGACCAGTGGGGACTGTTTGCCCTCGGCAGCTGCTGAGGCATTCAGACAGCACTCCCGCTGTTCCCTGGGTATCTTGCGCCTTTGGATACGATTGTGTGTAAGTTCGTGTATTTTCACAGAGGTGTAAGCTGTCATTGTGGGTTTGTGTCCCTTCTGTGCTGCCCACAACCTCCCGTTTCCTGTGCGGGGAGAGAAGAGCCAAGAAGCAGGGCATCTGGGGGCGGGGAGTGCAGCAGCTAGGCAATGTCACACGTCAGCCCAGACATCTTTTTCTCTCCCAAATCACCCAAGCCATAGTTACAACGAGCTTAGGTTTTTATTTGTATAGTTAACTTTTATACAGTGTGTTATAGAAGCATCTCTTGATTTTTAACACAGCTTCCTGAACGGCAGCAAAAGATGTTGCAGGCATTTGCAAAGCACAATAAAATGATGAAAGAATGCTCTGCTGGAAAAGGTACCAAGCTGGGAACGAGTCTTTAAAAAGTCGCTCACGTGGGAAACTCATGCCGACCTCACCCTGGGCTTCTGTTACAGGATTTGACCGTCACCTGTTGGGACTTTTACTCACAGCCAAAGAGGAAGGTCTTCCGACTCCAGATCTCTACACAGACCCACTTTTTTCCCGAAGGTAACTGGTGCAGTGTCCCACCGTGTCCTCAGTCAGCTGCTCTTCAGGAACACTGCATTCATCTGTAGGCCATTTACAATGTCTTGTCCTTGTGCCACAGTGGAGGCGGTGGAAATTTTATCCTCTCGACCAGTCTGGTTGGCTATTTACGAATCCAGGGAGTGGTGGTGCCCATGGTTCACAATGGGTACGGCTTCTTCTACCACATCCGAGACGACAGGTGAGGCTGCTTCCCCTGCCCTGCGTCAGCTGTCCTCACCCGAATGTCTTTCCTGCCCCGAGTCTGTTCTGTGGTCATGTCTGTACTGTAAGTAACTGGCCACCTGTCCATTTCATGTGCATTCTTACCTCTCTGAGATGCTTTTGAGCCACTTGTCACATGAGCCCTTTAGGTGTTTTCATGCAGGCCACACTTAGGTTGACTCTGTGGTAGCGTCACCCACAAAGTCAGCGCACACTGGCCTGTAAATCTAGATGGCATTTGTGGATGGAGTTGGTGCCACATCCATGCTGTGCATCCACCGTTTGAGGAAGGCGGGCAGCGTGGCACTGCAGCAGGAGTTGCAAGCCTGGCTGTCAGTTCCGCTTGTCCCCGCCCAAGCTCACACTAACATTTAGTGTCCAAACTAACAGCGGGGAGGTGCTGGGACCTTAGGAGGTAAGGTCAGGTCAACAAATGTTAGTGTGAGCTTGGCCGGAGACGAATGCCCTTCATGCACGAGGAAAGGATGATGAAGATTTGCCTAAGGCTGTTAGGAATGGCAGGAGAGAGAAGTAGAGGAGTGGGGATGCATTTTGGAGTTACAGCCCATAGGACTTGCTGATAGTGGCATTGGCTGGAGTGAATTAGGAGAAACTTGTTGAAGGTGTGTTAGGTGGCATCCAAAGTTTTTTTTTTCTGTACTCACTGGTTTTCACGATTTTGCTGCTGTAGGGATCCCCCACCGTGATGGGTCTCTGATGGAGGGATCCGTTACCATGATGGGAGGGTCTCTGGCAGGAGTCAGTGGGTACATGAGCTCGGAGCTCACAGGTTTAGCAGCTTACATTTGGGTTTTTACTACAAATAAACTCAAAATAGTTTTTAAATGGTATATGTAGAAATTAGAAGGACCTTTTTCATTCATTAAATTTGTAAATTGTGTGAACGGACCCATTTTAAAGTAGAATTTTATTTAATAGATACTAAATACACATTTGTAAAGAAAAAGTTAGGAGTGAACTACATTTCTATTCAAAACCAGTGTATCACATGCTGATATGTGGTATGTATGTGTGTGTATAAATCTACATGTGTTAATATATTCTTGTTCTTTTTGTGAATGTCATTCTTAATGTTATTTCAGGAAGTTCCCAAAGCCATTAAATGTGCTTTGCGTGTTATAATTGAATGCTTTCCACTCGTAGTGGCTTCCTGATGAGGAAACTTGAAGTTCATGGCAAAGCAGAATTTAAATTAAGAGTCTATTTTGGTGTAAAAATTGAAATCCACATGTAGATTCCTTATAATTTTCCATGTGCTAAATTATTTTTACCATAATTTAGTTGTTTTCCATGAATTTGTTCAAAGTATCCTTATAGTGTGTTCTTTCATCATTACAAACAATATATAATACAAATAAACCCTATTTTCTTAATACAAATTGTAGGTTTTATAAAACATTTTTGATAGACAAATATAGCTTGAATTTTTTTATGATTTACTGGTATCTTAGTAATTGTGTGTGTTTGTGTAGGAAAGGTTATTTATATAATTTGGACAACTGAAATTGTTCATCTGTGGAAAGCAGCATAGTAGATGTAGGAAGAGATTTGGGAATTGCATTCACAGCTCTGGGAAATCAGTGGTCATGAAGTAAAAACAGGGCAGGATTTCTCAAGCTTTCAGGGCGTCATTGAGCAAATACAGTACCCTGAAACACTGGTGACCAGCATGGGGCTTCAGCTTGGTCTTCACTGCCCAGCCTGGAGCACCATTCCAGTGGCATGAAGAGTGCCCACCCACCCAGGAGCTTCCTGCTGCACGGCCTGATCTAGACCGCTGCGGAGCTCCTAGAGAGCTTAGAGCTAGGGGAAGCCCAGTTAGAGCCAGGACTCTGCTGAACACATCCTGGGGAATCCATCATCAGAGAGGCCTAATGGATGGCGTTGAGTAGTTCCCTGGAAAATTTCTCTCTAGTTCTTGTGGAAGCAGCTTTTCCCACTTTTCTTGTTTAGAGTCCCTTCAAGTGTACACTCTCCTCAAGAAGTTGAGATTCCACCGCATTCAGTGGTGCTTGAGGAGGGCCTCCGTGTTGTGCAGTAAACTCAAACCTTGAGGCGGGACACTGCAGCTCTTGTTGGTCCCCTCACGTCCTTAGGTCCTGGGCTCCTGGCGTTCTCCGTGATTGGGTTTGATCTGCTGCTTTGGCAACTTGCGTTTACCTGATGGAAGCAGCCAGATTTTATGCAGGAGTAGCCAAATGGAATAAAGGTCCTGGCACTGTGCCACCTTGTGATCAGCAGCGCTCTGTGTGGTCATTAATCATTTGTTATTTGGATTTCACAGATTTATCGTGGCCTGTTCTGCATGGAAATCGTGCCCAGAGACAGATGCAGAAAAACTGGTTGAGCTGACTTTTGATGCATTCCATGATATAAATCAACTGACGAACACTGCTAATCTGTAGGACGAGCACTTGTCAGATGCCTTCAGTGCAGGTGTTCAGGGTAGGTTGGTGATGTGAGATGGGAAGGATATTGGCTTGATAAAGGAAACATGTGAAATATAGAAATAAATGAAATCATGTTAAATGTATTCTGCCATAGAAGGTAGAAATATTTTTATCTTCCTGTGATGCAGCAGCAATGCAAATTATGGTAGAATAGTGATTATAAAACTATGCAATGTTGCAGAAAAGCCACAACAATGCAAATCTACAGATGTTAACAATGTAAGTCTAACTTTGATTTTTAAATACTTCTGTTGGTACTTATAAGTGCTCTGTCACTGTAGTGTCTATATTTCAAGCACTTTAACATTGTCTAATTGCCAAAGTGTATGAAATACATGACTGGACAGCAAATCCTCTGAATCAGTGTCTTCCCTCTTCAGAGATGTGCGCCCCACAGGTCGGATGGGAGAGACCACTCTGATTTAAAATAATTTGTTCAGCAGAAAGGTAAATTTGCACTAACATACAGTAAAAAAAAAATTCTAAAAACTTTAAGGAAATTCACTGATACGTTGCTGTAATTTTAGCAGTATAGCAATTTAAAATTGTTCTAGTTGGTGACTTCTAAAGAATTCAGTGTTGAATCAATTCTCAGGATTTTGTAGTTTCTATTCTCAGAAAATAAAACATTCAAAATCACACGTGTGCATGAATATGATTTTTTGGCAGCCTTATACTTTCTAGTCTGTTCTGGATTGCTCTATGAACAGCTACCCAAAACTGTCATGAGAGTACTTAGCAAGTATTTGTGGAAAATGGAGTTAAAAAGTAAATTAATTTTGGTGCACAATTTTCCATTGAAACTTCAAACCAAAATAAACATGTTTAAGTAGAAAAATTACAGTATACTTAATGTACTGATGGGATACATCTTCTCCTTTTAACATTTTCATATGTTCTGAAATTAATAAGACTAGTGGCTCACCATTTTGTGTCATTAAATAGTCGACACTTAAACCCTTTGCAGTGGGGCAGGTTCTAACCCAGAAGCACCGGAACCATCACTCTGACAACACCCAGAGTTGGGGTCATTGGATCCGTCCTTCACATTTTCTGTCGGAGGTGAATTCTGAGCAAAGGAGCATTTCCCTCACTAACAACCTCATAGATCTGCTAGCAAGCCTGGAAAGACATTTGGTTGGCTTTACGGAATGTCAGGGAGTTGGGAATAATAGGAAGTTGTGTCACTTTGTGCAGGAAACCATTTGTCTGGAGTACTTTCTAAAAACAGTGTTGTGTGTCCCAGCCATGAAGAGCAGGGTTTACAGGAGCGTGTGCACAGCGTCCTCTCGCGTGGGGGAACAGGCTGAAGACTGCAGAGTCGAGTCGCTGCAGTGACGCACTCGGCCCCACACTCTAGTCTTGGCTACACTCAGACTGTTTGTTCATAAAGAGTCTCATTGGGAAAGTTCTTTGGTACCTGGTTCATTACCTACAAAGGAACTTGTTTTTAATACTTTACTGACAAACACTCAAAACCCATAACAGCTGATATTGCTGCATCAAACTATGGAAGAATAAACAAACACCATTTCAGGATTGTGAGCTCCCCAGGGTCGCCAGCATTTCTTTTTGCTTTCTGTGTGCCTTTCCCGGTAAGAAAAGCAGGAAGCTTGTAAAAGAGGCAGTGCGGTTGCTATAGAAACTCAGCATTGTGCCAGTGTTACTTTCAGTATTCAAATGATAAGAGAAGGCGTATGTTTTAAGATATTTAAGAACATAGTCACTAATGTGGCTCTTGTTTTATGAAATACTTACTTACAAAGTTGCCTAGATTAAGGGCAATTTAATTTTCTTCAACTTGGATATCTAGGAATTTAGTCACCTTAAAAATTCCTCAATTCAAAATCAGAACACCTTACACACTTGGAATCTTGTTCTCTACCCTGTTATCTCCCCAGCTATTCAGGACTGTAGGAATTTGATTATTTTAATAACCAAGGGAGGCCTAGATACCATTTTTCTACTTCATTAAGACACATCACTTCTAAAACTCACATTTCAAATGCCGTACTACCAAAACATCAAACTGGGTGTTCTAAATGAATATAGAATAAGATACTACTATGTGTTAGGATGATTGAAGCTATAAGCAGAATAAGTTGTGGAATCATTTATTCACAAAGGGACACTGTAAAAAGAGTTCATCAGATCTGTGCTCCAGCCTGGACGCTGACCATGGTGTAATAGATGCCCCTCTGCGCCAGCAGCTGGTGGTGCGTGCCGCACTCCTTGACTCGGCCATTCTGGAAGACCACGATCATGTCGGCACTCTGGATGGTGGACAGGCGGTGAGCAATCACGATGCAGGTGCGGCCTTCCCGCGCCTTGTCCAGGGCCTCTTGGACCACCTGTTGACAAGTCGCACATAAAGCTCATCCTAAAGTGATAGAAACTGGTCTTCACAGCAAAGGAATTTTTTCTAGCAGCCTGGTAAAGCAGAAGTTTTCATCGCTATGGCTTTTGGGCCTTATGTGTTTGCATTTTACCAAGTTGATATTACAATCTATATAAGGTTATTATAAGTAATTTTTAGTTTTTAAGCTTTCCAGCTTAATAGTTTATCACTTACTTAACTAGTTCCCTGGAGTATTTTCTAGTTTTCCTTATTATAGTTAATATGCCAAAAATATGTAGCTTCCTTTTCATACTGGTTCTCTTTCAGCAAAATTGGAAGAAACATTCTATTAAGGCAGCACAGTGTGAATTTTGTGCTTACGTTTTTCCACCTGTGTTCATAAACAATGATCTGAGTCATCAATGCAACAGGATGTCAGGTAGGAGGCCACACCTTCTCACTTTGAGTGTCCAGAGCTGAAGTGGCTTCATCCAGCAGCAGGATGGGCGGCTGTCTGAGCAGCGCCCGGGCGATGGCGATCCTCTGCTTCTGCCCTCCTGAAAGCTGGGTCCCCTTGTCTCCGACTCGGGTTTCGTATTTCTGCAAGTCAGCCATTCATACTTTAACAAATTAAGGTCTCGTCTGAATTATCGCCAGTGGCATACTTAACGTTACACAACTCTCATCACAAGAAAAATCTCATTTTAAAATTTCCATGAAAAAGGATCACTGTCCATTTAATATTTTCTCGACAGAACATTCTATTTTCAAACTTAAAATGCCCTTACTATTCAATGGTGTTCTCCAAGAGAAATCTGGGCAATACGTTCTTGCATCTTTACCATTCCTATAATACCATCTGACAGTTCCTGGAGTCCTAAGAAGTTTGTTTAAATGCTAATATTTTGAAGACATTTTTAAAACTTGTAATACTCCAGTGGACCACATAAAGACTTTGTTTTTCCCTTTTAAAATCATTCATTTAAATATTGACTGAAATCTATGTGTAGAACTGTGAGAAAGTTGAAAAATGAATTCAGCTTTGTTTCTTCCCTGAAGGAATTCATAGAGGGAAAAGGGGAAATACAAGACTCCAGATAAGGTCAAGTAAGCACACAGATTTCTAAGAAAGAAGAGGATGGGCCTGGGCCCAGCGTGGTAACCTAGTGGCTAAAGTCCTCTCCTTGCATGCATCAGGATCTCATGTGGGCACTGGTTCTAATCCCAGCAGCCCTGCTTCCCATCCAGCTCCCTGCCTGGGAAGGCAGTCAAGGACAGCCCAAGGTCTTGGGACCCTGTACCCACGTAGGAGAACTGAACAGACTCCTGCCTTCAGGTCGGCTCAGCTCCAGCTGTTGTGGGAACTTGGGGAGTGAATCAGCAGGATGGAGGATTTGCCTTTCTTGTCTGTCTTTCTCTCTGTATATCTGACTCTCCAATATAAATAAATAAATCTTAAAACTAGCTTTGATCCCATAGTTTTGTTCCCAATAATAGCTTTGTTCCCAATTAGAAGATAAAAACCCAGGCTAAATGGGGTAAAATAAAAACAAGGCCCACTGCCATGCTTCCTACAAAATCCTGCAGCAGTAATGACAGCCTGGAAGTGAAGGGATGGAAGAAGACATTCCGTGTCAGTAAAACCCAAAATCAAACAGAAGTAGAAATATCAGATAAAACAGACTTTAAGGCAAAATTTTAAAAACAGACAAGATCATTGTATATTGTAACTATATGTACCAAATACTAGATACTGATTTTAACAGAGGAAGAGGAGATAAATCTCAATCCACTGGGTCACTCCCCAGGTAACCGTAAAAGCCAGGACTGGGCCAGGCTAAAGGCACATGGTCACCAACACGGGCTCATCTTGCACTATCTCCCCAAGCGTGTCAGCAGGAAGGTGGACCAGAAGCAGCGCATGGTGAACGGGAACCAGCACTTCCACACGGGATGCTGGCAGTGCCAAGTGCTGGCCTGGTTTGCTGTGCCACAATCCCAGCCCTAGCACACTCTAGAATATACCAGGCCACAAAGCAAATATCAACCAAACAAAAATAACAAATTGGGCTACCATTGTGCCAGTTCAGGTCCCAGCTGCTCCATTGTCAACCCAGCTCCCTGTTAATGAATGGCGTGGGAAAGGCAGTGGAAAATGGTCCAAGAATGGATGAGTTTTCTCTAGGTCTCCCACACCGATGCAGGGTCCCAAGGCTTTGGGCCGTCTTTGACTGCTTCCCAGGCCACAAGCAGGGAGCTGGATGAGAAATGGGGCTGCCGGGATACAAACCAGCACTCATATGGGATCCCGGCGTGTGCAAGGCAAGAACTTTAGCCACTAGGCTACCACTCCAGGCCCAAACAACGCTTTGATTTTTAAGAAGGCCCAGAAAGACTAAAGCAACCATGATGCAGTCTCAATACAGCCTCCAGCCAGACACAGGGTGCTCTGGACTCCACCCCATCCCTGCTGCTTGCCACATTCGCAGGAAGTAGACATGCTGTTATCTATTACCAACAAGGACACTGGGAATGCTGAGGTCAGCTATCGAGTCCAACAACATTAGTAAATCCACATTTATATTACAACACTGTGTTGGTGCAACTTGGTGAGCTTCTGTGAGACTACAAGCTGTTTGCAGTCTGCAGTGATGTCAGCTAAGGGGTGACCAGGGAACATACCTGGGGGAGCATCTCTATGAAAGGGTGGATGTTGGCAGCCTTGGCCGCACTCACAATCTCCTCCTGGGACACCGCCCGGCTGTTGTCCCCGTAGGCAATGTTCTCACCGATGCTGCAGTCAAACAGGATGGGCTCCTGGGACACGATGCCAAGTTGGGCTCGCAGCCACTGGACATTGAGTTTCTTTGCTTCTTGACCATCCAGGAGCTGAAAACCCAAGTCCACAGACTGACTATAAGAAGGCTTTTAAAAGGAAAAGAAAGCAAAAACCAAACAATGCGATACAGTAAAGCTGTCCTTCTGAAGGCCTGTTAAATTAGGCATCCACAGTTAAAAGACCAAGCAGCGGGCCCCTGCCGCTTACTTAACCAAAGAGATGACTCAGTGCCCAGACTCTCCATGCTGGTCTGAACTGCAGAGCTGTGGCATGTTCAGCCTATCGCTCCCCACTCCTCCATCCTTCCCTGCCTTCCTGCAGGCATCTGTGCCCCTGCGAACGTCAGGGAGCTGTCCTTAGGCCATGCTAGACCCTAACCCTTCATTCCAGCCTCATCCCCTCCCCCTCAAGTCACCCCAGCTTCGGAAAGTTGACTGGGTTCAGTCCCACGCCTTCCTGACTGTTCCCAAAGAATGCCAGCCTCAAGTTAGCTCCACCTCTCCCTTCTCATGGCCCAAGGGACAAGAGTTTTAGGAAAAGTATAAAGCCAGAAACAGAAGTCTTTGGCAGCACTGTTTCAATTGGCTGTGGTCTCAAGGGGTTTTCACGGTGCTCCTGGGGGAGCCTCGTGAGCGGCTGCCTATGAGCCAGAGCACCTGGTGGAGGAAAGCACACCCCGCTAGGGTGGACCTCAGACAGAGAGCATGGCACCTGCAGCATGCTGCTGAGCTGGCCCGTCTGTATTTACATCTGCACAGTAATGACGACAGTCACACTTGAGACTTCCCAGAAACTGCCCAACAAGCTTTAACTCTCCAGTGCCCGTCCAAGTGTGGGACTCACAGGGCTAGGTCCACGGCACTATCAGCTGTGCCTAGGGGGTGAGACACCACAGGAAAATCGGTGACAGAAGCCAAGGAGGATACGACTGGAGGGTCAAGATCAAAGCCAGAAAGCATACAGTTCAAGCTTAGAGAGCTAAGCCCAAGCAGAGTGCTCTGGGCAGAGAACAAGCAAGCCCCAGCACACCCTGTGGATCTGCTCCGAGCTCTGGCCCAAGTTTGTGTCTATCTTTATCATGAGCCAGCAAGCAGGGCCCGGGGAGCCAGGCAGCTCAGAAGGCCTGGCAGTGTGGAGGCTGACTTCACACTCCCTGCTTCCTGAGCCACAGTGGATCCAGATGTCTGGCTGTGTTGTCCACATATCCTGATGTTGGCCTGGTGGGACCCCCTCCCCGCAGCTGGGCCTCATGGAGTGTAGCCATGGTGGCAGATGGGTGTACAGGTCTGCATGGTCTGTGTTTTTCCATTTGCAATGAATGGTTTTACCAATCAGGGCCTTGAATGTAGCTGCTAGGGAAAGGTGCTCACCACTGTCCCGGCCATGGGGTCGTAGAAGCGCTCAAGCAGCTGCACCACAGTGCTCTTCCCACAGCCACTGGGGCCCACCAGGGCCAGCGTCTGGCCCTTCTTCACCTCCAGGCTCAGCCCCTGTAGCACTGGCACGTTGGGCCGCATGGGGTAGTTGAACACAACTTCATTGAATGTCACGTTTCCTTCAAATGCACCCTAGAAAAAGCTTCAGGTGTTGCTACTGGTCCAACGATTATTGGAAGCAGCAGTATTAGTTGAGGGAAAATTTACTGAACACCCCAAAAAAGAGACAGATGAAGTGTATGTTCAGTGCCTATATTAACAGAAGTTGTACAAAAAAATGGGAGATGGGACATGAAGAAATGGTTTAGATTAGATTAGGTGAGAGAGCTGTTAACTCAGTTTCTAGTTCACTTTTTCAGGCAACACTGAATTTTCCCAACTGCTAGGCTGAGGCTGAGGCTGGAGGCAAGCCAGGGGCAGAAGGCCCAAGGGCTTTGGGAACTCAGCCACAAGTGTTGGCCTCCAGTCTCACTGGACAGCCTCCCATCCAAGCCTGGCAGCCTCTTTATCTCACTCCCTGGGCACAACAACCACGTCAGAACATGAAATGCCTGGCACAGAGCAAGCACCTAAGTCCTGCTGTCTCTCCACCCACGCCTCTTCCTGCACGCTGAAGGGCACAGCTGTGTCATGTGGAACACAGGCCGACTTCAGAAAGGGCAGGACCATCCCCGTCGCTCTACGGGGCCTCCCGCCTAACAAGAACTCAGTCATCATAGGGCGCGGACAGAACCAAGCGGCTCATCACATGAACCTAGCAGAATTGCTGGGTAACTTCACATAGAAATGATCCCATTCATGCGGGAATGACTCAATTCTAGCACATCTGAGTTCCTTTATCATTTTTTGGATGTGCTGAATTTCAGAATCTTTGATATCTCCTAGGAAATTTCAAAATGTCAGCAAAGTGAGCCAAATATCAGTCATACAAGTATCATAAACTAGATATGAGAGCACCTCAAAAGTTTGCAGGAATATGAAATCAAAAGCCAAGTCACTGTGTTGTCAGAAACCATGAAGTCCACGCATGTGTTTTTGTACTCCTCATTTCACAAACTTCCTAAATGCCCCTCACACATGTCAGCATCATTTACTGTAACACAACAGACACGACACCTGCAGAGGGAGGCACCGAGCAGACCTTCAGCAGGCAGTGGAGAACTCACCGGCCTCAGCCCCTCCTCGCTGTAGCTGTCGATCAGAGGCTGCCTTTCAAACAGCATGAACAGGTGGGCTGCAGACAGCTTGGCCTTGGCATAGTCCGGAGCGAACGAACTTGCATGTCCAAGAGCCACCGCGCCGAACACAATGGCCGAGAACACTCTGGAGGTAAGTGGAGGGGGTTGCCCATCAGCTAAAGGAGTGGGCAGCTTCTTACCAATTTTTACCTGCCTACTCCCTTTGTCACCCCCTCACCAGGTCCATGGAATTCCAGTTCCAGAAGTAAAGCAGGGAGCAAGAGAGCGCTCCCTCCCACCCCCAAGCCCACTCCCCTTCTAGTTCCCCACGGGAGCGTTTTCCCCTGCTGCTGAGGCGGTCCACAAGCTGTCCCTTTCAGGAAGTGGCTTATAACTGAATCTGATAATGGATGTCACGTCTGTTGGCAATTCAGCCTTTATTTTTTTCTCTCTTTAAAAAATATTTAATATTTATTTTAAACTTTTAAAAATTTCTGATGATGTTTACACAGTTGCTTAGGGTGGGAAGGGTCGGGGACTAGCGGAAAGTGGGTGAGACCATTGTTTCCAATTCAGCCTTTCTTCAGAGTAAAGGAGTGCAGAAGGAGATACAGCGGTTCTGAACCAGGACTGGTACTTCCTGTTCCACGGGGGCCCTGACATCTGGTTTGTAATTTCTTCAACGACCACAAAATGATATTGACCCCGTGGCTATTTCTGCTACAAAAAATACGCCCTTGCCAGGGAACAGTAGCACCAGCTAACATCCTGAGCAGCTCAGAAGTTTTTCTTGTTACTCCTCCACCCCTATGCCAGGAGACACCCCCAAGAGGTGCCAGGAGAGCTCCCTGCCGTCCGGTTCAGAGGGGCGGGCCCATGCGGACACCGGCAGGGAGGCGGGTACTCCTTTCTGTACACCCTGTTTTGCTGGGCTGCTCGTGTTGTTTCCGTTCAGCAGGGGGCATAGAGTGCCTGGACCCCGAGTTCTGACCATCTTTCCCTTCTGCCCTTCAGGTTTGCTGGTAACAAGAAGAACCCCCATGGAGTCCAGGGTCCCTCCCTGCTCTTTCACTTCCCACACCTTTGTCCAACACCCTGAAGCCGACTCCTGTGTTCTGGCTCCCTGCCAGGCTCCTGACCGACATATTTTCACCATTTTAATTTTGGACAGAAACCAAGGAAGAGCTCCGGCCCCTCTCCGCTTCTCTAGATCCCATGTCAAAACAAGACCATGCACCGGCACTTGGAAATCACCCTTCCAGAGCAGAAACGTCTTTTCCCTCCTCCTAACCTAACCCCACATCCTCTGTGTGTTCTGGAACAATCCAGTAATCACAAACACCATGCAAGGCCTGGAGGCTGAGGAACAGAGAGGCTGCGAGGCCTGGGCCCATCACTCCTGGACGGTGGGGACAGCGGCCGTCAGACCTCAGTCAAGCCTTCACCACCTGCTGCAGGCCACATCTCAGCTGTGGCCCTGATTTCAAAAGTCCGTAGTCACCAATACCTTTCTCACCATGATTTATTTCTAGCCATGTTCTACATGAGAAAATCCACTATCTCCTGACTGGGGTTATGCATGCAACTAAAATGATGCTGGATGACAGTTTAAAACCTTGGGACCCTGCACCCACGTGAGAGACCCAAAAGGGGTTCCTGCTTCCTGGCTTCAGGTAAGCTCAGCTCTGACAGTTGTGGCCACTTGGAGAGTGAACCAGAAGATGGAAGATCTTTCTCTCCTTCTCCCTGTATATCTGCCATTCCAATAAAAATAAATAATCTTAAAAAAAAAATACACCCTGGTAGAAGCCTAGTACTCAGACAGCTACTTACAGAATGACATCTCGGAAGCGCATGTGTCCATTCACGATGAGGTAGGCACCAAATCGGAAACAACCAGCATAGGAAAAATACATGAATGCTTGGGAGATACTGAAGGTAATCCCGTAGATGTGTGCCTTCCGCACCGAGTTCCTGGAAGGCAGATGGGCACGTGTTGGTGGATTCACACAGTGGAAAGAGCTCCACTCCCAAGTGTGGTCAGCCTGGGTCTACAGTCACATTTGTCTGGGTGACCGATTCAACATCAGCATCAGTTTCTCCTCTGTGCAACAGAGACAACCACTATAATGCAGAACTGAGAACTAAAGTCACTGCAAAGACATTTTGAGAAACACAGTAAAACCATACAAATACCTAACATGATGCCACATGCCTGGCTACTGGTAGATGCTTCAATGACAGCTGCTATTACTATTGATCACTGTTGATATTACAAATTAACGTCACACATTCCTACCTGACCACTCAGAGTTCAAACTCACAGATGTAACATGGTCGTGTCAAACACATCCAGGGGGCAGGGGGATGGCACAGTGGCTAACGCAGGGTTTACAATGTCCATTCTCTACATCAGAATACTCAGCCCCAGTCCCAGGTTCTCCACTTTCATTTCATTTTACCTGAGAGGCCTAAGGTGCCTCTCTAATGAAATCCCTGCCATCCACGTGGTCTGGATGGAGTCCCAGGCTCCTGGCCGCGGCCTGACCCAGCCCTGGCTTTTGCAGTTATTTAAGTGAGTCAGAGGATAGACAATCTCTATGATTTTTAAATAAGATGATAACAAAATTTAAGGAATTTAAAAGTCTTTTTTTTTGGGACTTTAAAAAATACCTAGGATGACAACATTAGAACTAAAGCTCAAGTGATCTGAAAGTGATTTCTGCAATACTCTCATTTTTATCTCCTATAACTAGTCGTCTCATGTCATAAAAGATTTCAGAGTCATGGATGTTGGGTCATTCAAGTGTACAGATATGGACCAGAAGTCTGAATTAGATCTTGCTAACACCACAGTTTGTTTTGCACTGTTTCTAATGATACTTCATGCTAAATCTTGCTAGGCTATTACACCATCCCAAAGAAACATAACTTACGCTCTCAAATTAAGAAGTTCCAAGCATTGCTGCTGTTGATGCTTCAACGTGCTGTGATGACAGCATTAAAAAACCTCATGGAACAACTCAGTGTTACAGAACTTTAAATAATGATCCAATTAATTATTACCATTAGCTTTCTATTCTTTCTTAATTCTGATATCTAAAACGCACAACAACGGGGGGTGGGGGTTCCACATCCCGCACGGGAGCCCCTGGCTGACCACAGCTTCCGGAAGATGCACTCCCTGGGAGAGGCATCAGGGAACATCTCAAACAGCTGGGTTCCTCCCAAGGGAGCCAAGGTGAGTTCGTTCCTGGCTCCTGGGGTGAGCTCCTGCTCGCTCCTGCAAGCATTTGGAAGAGTGAACCGGAGGACGAGAAGTCCTCCAGGCCCTCTGTCTCTGCCTCTGCCTCTCAAGTAAACTTTTTAAAATTCTCATAAGGTCATGGGTATTATTGGTCCGTATATATTGTGATAAACAGAAAAAGACCACATGCTCTTTATATCAAATGAAGTGCAACTGAAGAGACAGAATAATTGGAGAACTTCAGGGATCCCTGCTCCAATAGGCCAGTTCTCAGGGCCAGTGTTCAGGTCTGCAAGTGTGTGATGGACGTTTTAGGATGCAGAGAGTTCCTAGAAGCTTCAGGAAGCATTCATAGAAGTGACGGAATGAGCCATGTGTCTCTGTCTTCACATACTCAGGGAACAAAGGGAACACTCTTCTAGAATGTGCTACAGAACACATCTCCCCTTTTGTTCAGCCTCCACTCTCAGAGAGAATAAAAGTGCAAGTAGTTCATTCACTCAGATTGTTTATGCGGGCTGCACAGCAACCAGACACACCGCACCAATCCTCTGTACCTTTTGCTTCTTAGAGACTTATTGTTTTTATGAAGATCAAAACTTGTGGTTCAGATACAGCAAGAAACCATTTATTATCAGTAAATTAATTACTGACAAATGCCACCCTTATGGTCATCTCTTTCAACTGATCTTTTAATTTTTTCTCTTTTGGGGGCATTCTAAGGAACCAGGTTCTTTGTATCATTCAGATGTTCATTACCTGTAAGGCCCACGTAATTTTTCAACATACATGGATTCAAATTTTCTTTCCTGGGTCAAGGACACAACTGTCCTAATATTTTCTATCACCTCCGTTGCAATCTGTAACATCAAACAGGGCTTTCATTAGATGTGGGTGCTTGACTTCCACGATAAAAAGCCTTACAACTCTCAGCTAGCGTCTCCTGAAGGTTACGTTGACTTGTTTTATATTCCTTCACCAACAAATGAAAGGCAGAGCATATTCAAGACCAGGTAGCAAAACAGGTAACTCTGGGTGTGCTAAGTGTGGTTGACAAGTCTCCACATGCCTGGGGAGCTGAGGGGCGGCAGGCACAGGGCATCCAGAGTCTGGCACTGCTCCCAGGCCTGCCTCTGCCCTGCCCACACAGTCGTAAGCCCTGCTATCTCCCTAGGTTGGAGTCTGTAGGCAGGGCTGAGCTGTGGGTTTGGAGGGAGAATGACAGTCATTCTCCTCCTCAGAAAAATCATCCACCCACAGTGGGATGAAGGTGCTGCCTGCTTTACATCCTTGATTGAATCAGCAATGACATATGGCAGGGCTGCAGCCTTCGCATTCGGTCTGCGCGACCTGGAGGCCAGAGCTGAACTGCGCAGCCCCGAGGAATCATAGGCTGATGCCATCACGTGGTGAGCCACACAGGTGGTTGTGGGTGGCTGACAGTCCTGCATGGAATAAAGAGCTGAACAGGTGTGCTGCATGGCTCAGGCATGCCACAGCCTGGGTTGCTAAGAGATGGTACACAAACTACATTTCTTGGGATTTCCTGTGACCTGGTGTCAAGCCCCTTTCACACAAATCAGGCAGCGCTGACTGCTGATTCTTACAGGCACACGGCTTGACTGTTGCTCACTGTCAGGGACTTGGCTGTTTTGTCCATACCATAGTTCTGCACTTGAGTCATTCAAACCGTTAGCACTGGGTACATAAAACCTTGATTTGGGATTTCTGTTTTATTGGCTTTAAGACTTATGTCAGTTTCTGCGACCAGATAAAAACAAGGTGTTAAATGTCTTAGACCCAACAGCTCTTTCCTTATGAGAAACTCAACAACATCAGTAACTAGAATAGAAACCACCTTGACTGACCTGGTCTAGTTGGCCTCATGACCATCCTCTGAGCTGAATATTCCTTCGTTGGCTTCCACCCTGGGCTTAGCTCTTGGCTTTCTAGCTGTGGGTCAGCTCCTGGTGCTCCAGCCTGGTGCTCCAGGCTCCTAACCTCAGCAAACAGGGAGAGCCTGAGTCTAGATGCTTTTGAAAACCTTGGGTTATTTTTTTTTGCTAAGCTGGTTTTAGAGAAACAAGCTGACAAATAACCAGCAGGCTGAGCATACTGGTATTAACTGGATGGCACAACTGAAGCTCACCAGTTGTAACTTGTGTAACTATGAACTACAACTGGAACTGGATCCTACTCCAAATTTTCACAACAGCCCCCTCCATTCCTGCTTCACTGTCCAGCAGCCAACGCTTCACCACCAAGCCGTTTTGGTTTTTGACAATCAGAATGGCAATGTCTCAAATTTGAATGCACTTTAACCATAATCCGCACCCAGGTGAACGACAGCATTTCTTTCAGAACATTTATTGGCGGGTGGTTTCTAGAACTTTCTAACCTTCACTTTTTTGTTAAAAGTTGGCCAAGGAAACAAAAATGAATCTATGTCTGAACAGCTGCTAAGTATCTAAGTTTTCAACCTAATACATGGTGCAGCAAGTCAAGCTGTAGCCTGTGATGTCAGAATTCCATATGAGCACTGATTTGTATTCCAGCTGCTCCAATTACAATCCAGCTTCCAGCTAATACACCAGGGACAGCAGCAGAAGGCCCAAGTGCCTGTGTCCCTAATACCCCACGGCTAAGGCCTGGAAGAAATCTCCGGCTCCTGGCTTTGGTTATTCGAAGAGCAAACCAGCAGGCAGAGATCTGCCTGTCTGTGTCACTTTCAGATAAAGAAATACATTTATATTTAAATGTATAAAAGGTAAAATTTAGTTCAGTCAGCCTGCTGTTGATTTCTGATCCCTAAAAAAGCACATGCCTGATGCAATTTCCCTTTTCACAAAGATGGAAAACAAGGGCCAAGCAAGCTGGGATCTTTGCCAACATCACACCGTCTAGGTGGCAGGGTTACCTACAGCTTGAACCATTGCTCAATTCTGCCAGCCTGCTCCTGCCAAGTTCTGACAATTGTCCATGTAAATCACTTTTGAGACAACCAAACTTATTGTCTTAACTAGGCTCAATATGTTTTCATCCAGGAAAGTTGTCTAGAAGAAAGTAATTTCTCATTGTGCCAATTTTCCCTTCCAAAATGTGGAGATCAGCAAGGCAAAAAAACTCACGGTTTTGCAGCAGCTGGCCTTGACACCCAGAAATCAGAACGATGCTGTTAAGCAGCCTCCGCAAGGAGCCAGAGGATTCGCAAGAACTGAGGGAACACCCAGGGAACCCCACGCAGTCCAGGGACCCGAAACCCAGTGAGGAGAGCGGGGGAGGACCTGGGGGTGGGGTGGAACCTGCCAGCCTGGAATGCTCGGTTTACCCTCAAGGGCCACCCCTCCGGAGCTGCTCAGTACCTGAGGCTCTCTTCCCGGGGAGATCCGGCCTTCCCCCATTGCTCTTAACTGTGGGAAACGACAGGTGCATGATGCTTGCTGAAGCGTTTTATAAAATGTGGTGCCCAGGAAGCTACATGTCAAATATCTACAAATCTAGTTCCCGCTTCACTTCCGATGTTTCATTAAAGAAGAAAATGTGTTCACAGCCAAAATTTACACTCAAACATTTAAAAGCTTATAAAGAAACAGCTGGTGTATACCCGCAGCCAAATTAAACACAAAAAGGCTGTGGAGACCAAGCTCTGAAAAACTAGATCCGGTCGCAAAGCCTAGTCACACCGTCCACTGGCGTCTGCGTCTCAGGCCGTGGATGGGCAAAGCCAGTGTCTGCCCCGCCAGGCGGGAGGAGCGCCTGCCAAGCAGCCAGGAGCCTCACAGGGCCACGTTCACGGTCGCCGTCCGCCCAGGGCCACAAGCCGAGGCGCCACTGCCCCCTTCTGGCCGCCGCGCTGAGTTCTAGAACTCAGCCACTGACGGCCGCCTCAGTGCCTCAGCTGTGGAACCGTGGTCAGGCCTCAGGAAGGGAAAGACACAGGATGGCTGGCAAACCCCGAGCTTCTCCAAGAAAACCACTTGGGCAAGTGCCTGGAAGGCGGCGAAATGCTTCCCACAATGCTGAGAACTGAAACACATGCCGCGGGACAACCATGTTCACACCTATCGAAACGCGCGCGGCTTGACCCACCTTTCCCGCGGCTTCTAGCTCCTTCTTATCTCTCCTGGCATTGCCAGCCAGCATCTTCATCTCTACAATTCCTGACACGGCAATGATCGGAACCACCGACAGCAGCAAAAGGGTCAGCTGCCAGCCATACAGGAAGGAGATGATGATGCCCGTGCCGAGGTTGGCCGTGTTCTGAGCGATAAGTGCCAACCTGGTGCCGGTGGCCTGGAGGAGGAGAGCAGAGAGGGTGCCTGGCTCGAGTCCACACCCGGTGAAGCGGGCCAGCCCCCTCTCTTCTGGGCCCACGAGTCCACCTCCCGGTGGTCAGTCACACCCCTGTGGCTTGTGGCCCTTCTGATCACCGATAGTGGCCATCTTGTGGCCAAGGGTTGCCACCCGGGGCTACCCAGTGGAGGAGGTGGCACTGAGGTGGCAGCAGTCAGTCGACTCTGAACTGACTGAGCCTCCCGCGGACTGTGCAGCCAGCGTGGGTCTGGCTTCCTGCTCCTGAGCAGCCAAGCCTGTGTTTCCAACACCGTCAGCCGCAGGCTACGTACTCCTTGCACTTGGGCAGCATCCGTGGCAAGTCTTGTGGAAAGTGCACCAGTACTGTTTTTAGGATCATCAAACCAGCTCATGTCCTGTGGCATAAAACACACCTGGCTGTTAAAGGCAGTACTAGACACATGGGAAGAGTCCGCCAATGCTTTCACCTGGGTACTGAAATCTGAGAGAGACCTCACCCATACTGGAAGGTCCGGCATCCTGCCCTGGGCACTCCCCTATCCCCAGTCTGCCAGGACCTGGGTCCCAGGCCACTCTGCAGTGATGGATACCTGTCACATGTGGGAGGTGCAGTGTTTGGGTAGCCCTGCCTCTCTGCCAGCTACACCCAGCATTGAGCCCATGTGGGCATCCTGTCAATCCCAGCACCCAGGCATGCTGTCACCCACGGGTGGTGGGTGAGTCAAGGAAGACACACTCTGGAAAGTTCTAGGCAGGAGATGCATAGTCCTGACTTCTCACCATGACCTTGACTTGCTTTTTAAAGGAGATTCATATCTGAGTTGCAATCCAAGCTACTCATCCATAGCATTGTCTACTTTCAGATGAAGCAACTTTCCTCGCAAGTGTTTAAAAGCTATAGGGAAAAAGTGGTAAACCTGCTGTGTGCCCTTTTCTGAACAGGAATCAGATGCTGTTACCCAGGCAGGGTAAGCTTCTCGTCTTCTCTCAGCCTCTTCCAGGAAAGCAGGGAAGTTGTGCTTGCACACTCCCACACATCCTGAAGGAGGCCGTGAACTTCCCAAGAGGATGGATTTCTGGCATTCCAGAAACCTGGCACGCAGCCAGCAATGTCTGAGCACACTCCCCAGTGAATTCACACGAAAACACAGCCCAATAAACAAACAAAAGTCTATAGCAGAGAATAGGAGAGCCTACACCGAGTATGACTGTGGTACATGAACTCGAATAGCAGCATGCAGTTCTCTTTAAAGGCCTCTGGGGGGGGCACTTTGGATCTAGAAGGACCAGAGCAACTGGCAGGTGTGTGATGCCTGCATGAACACACACACACACACACACGCGTGCATGTGCGCACACACACACACACGTTGAGAGCAGGATGAGCTCAGCTCGAGCAAGGGAGATCTGGCACACACCTACCTGCCTCAGCATTGCTCGGAAAGCCATCGACCGCAGCCTGGTGGTGAGGATCTCGCCAGCTTTCCCAAACATGAAGCCCTGTGGGAAACAAAGGCCACGTCCCTTTGGATCATCGCTAGCATTCCGACAGGGGCATGTGTGAACCGTTCATTCAGACTACGAAAATCTGAGGCCTAAGGTTAGCTCAGAGTTTCCACATAGAACACCTGCTCTGACTCTCCTCATCAGTGCATATTTGAATCAAAAGCCCAGAAGCCTCACCAATATTCATCTCTGGCTTCCATTCAAGGTAGATTTAGTCTTCAAACCCTCCAAGGACAACAAGAGGTACTGTGTTTTATTCCAGATTGCAGACTGTTCTTAATACTCTCAGTGAAGCCATTGAAAGCACAAATAACAAAATCCAGAATCTCTTTCAGTTCATGCAGTGCCAGGAAGTACATGCTTAATCTACTTTTTAAAAGATTTAGTTGTTGGCTGAAGGGAGTTCCAGGCTCCTGGCTTCAGCCTGGCCTAGTCCTGCACATTGCAGCACTTGAAGAGTGAACCAGAGGATGCTTCATCTCTTTCTGTTTCTACCTTAGATTTATTATACTTTATTTGAACACCGACCTGAGTTACATACAGAGAGGCAAAGCAAACAAGAGAAAACATGCACTCTTTTTTTTTTTTAAGTTCCAAGTTCCAGTAATGGCCAGCAACAGATCAGACTAAAGTCAGGAACCTACAACTCCAGCCAGGACTCCCACATGCACCTACCATAGCACAACACACATCCCCTAGGGGCCTTCTAGTGTCACACCCTGGGAGAATGGATAGTTCCCTTCCATGGCTTCCTCTGCCCTCAGACTGGGGAACAGCCAGGCTGCTCTTTCTCTCCAAGCTCCTTGCCACATTTTTCTTCTTTCTAATGGTCACTTGCAAAATGGAGAACAGCTCAGTTGCTTGCTACTGGGGTCCTTAGGGAAGGGGCCTCAAGCTACATAGGCTGCAGGGAGAACCACTCTAGCAAGCCAATAGGATGGGTACCCTATGCAGGGGTGAGTCTGCCCCAGGTGTGTCTTATCCGGTGTCCTTCCTTCCCTTTGCCAGCAGTGTGGCTGCGCTGCCATGGGCTCTCCAATTCATGCACCAGGCCACAACCCATGCAGCTCCTGCAGTGCATTTAAGTCACATACACAGGGACTGGGGCAGGGTCAAGGCACTCGGGTACCACTGGCCAGGCAATGACCTCTAACCACAAAGCCAGCCTTAACTCTTACCACAGATTCAACTATACTAAGAGAGCAACCTGACCATGCCCAGGAAATTTGATTTTCTGACTTCATGGATCATGTGTGACTCTCAACAGGATGAAGAGATCAAAGTATTCTGGGGGAAACCTAACTATGAAGACGAGCACAGTGAGATCAAGTCTGGAGGTTCATGCTGGTCGGGTCTACCACACTGGACTGCATACACCATGCTCTTTCCAATAGTTCGTCAGTCATGTAGGAAAAAGTTCAGCAAAGGTACTGGGCATCATGCAAAGAACAACAAAGAAGAGACTGTGGGCTGCATTTTTCCAGTGTGCAACTTGGGAAGCCCAAGGGGTTCTCACACTCTCTGGCGAAGGTAAGCCTTGTCTTTTTCAGCGAGTGTTTGCTGAAGGACACTTGTGGTGACCTAAAAGGCCACAGAGCTCATAAAGTGCTCCCAGTCCTCCCTCTGTGAGTGTGTGTGTCCTCCAGAGCTGCCTCTGGCCAGCTGTGCACCACTCCCCAAGGCTCTGGATACTCCACTGAGTCAGATTAGACGAGGAAGGGGAACCCTGGGTACCCACCTGAAGGAAGAACGTGAAAAAGGAGAGAATCCCCAGCCCTAAGAACAGCAACGAGAACATGTTGCACTTCTGCTGCTTCACAGCATCATCTCCTGGGCCGAAAATCTGCATGGCAACAAATGACACGTTCTCTCGGGCTGCACAGATAGGCCCATTTATTCCTCCCAGGAGTCATGGCCCAGATGCCACATTTTAAAAACTGTTTCTGATACATGGGCCATTACAGTTTGTGATAAGAATGCAGAACTCACTATTTGCCACTTTAAGTACTTCCCAGCATGTGGTGCAACCCTTACACCTTCCATCTAGAATTTCCTCAACTTCCCAGACATGAGCCACAACCAAGGACCCCCCCAACGCCCGCCCCTGAGACTCGGGGATCCTCAGTTCTCCTTTCTCACTCTAGGGGTTTGAGGGCTACCTGACTATCAGTGTGAATTAAAACACTGTGCATGGACTCCAAGTACTTGCACATCTATGGCTGATCCCTCCTCTTGTGTCTTCCCTGCTTCCACCTGTTCCACACTGCTCTGCTCCTTGACCACCCCTGACCGTGCCATGTGAAGCAGCACCAGTCCTGCCTTCAAAACTGTCCCTTAGCACACTGCCTGCTTGTGTCTGCTCAGGAGCTGTGTGTCTGCTGCAGTGTGAAGTGTGCTGTTGGAGGCACCTTGCGTCTCCAGGGCCAATGACAGCACTCAGCACACGAGGAAGGCCTGAGAGAAGATGCAGGCCACAGCTCTGAGCTACAGAGCTTTATCCCAAAAGTTGAAAGATTTGAGGTCCAGATCTATTTTATTGTTATTCTACTTCAGGAGCGATTCAGATGCTTTTGGTTCTCTCAAAGCACCCATCACACAGGATTTGCAGACACTAGCCCAGTTTAATTTGAGTCTGTACCTGTGCTGGTCTCAAACCTACCGCGATCATCTCAGAGAATATGACGGAGAAGGCCGGCTGGAGTGCCCCGTTGGTGACGGCACACACGGTTCCTACCACAAAGTAGGGCCACTCGGTCTTGTTCAGCTTTAAGATCTTCAGAAAAGACACGGGTGGTACACCAGCATCCTAGAAGACAGAAAGATCAAGACAGAGTCACACCTCAGCAGGGCCCAGAGACAGCAAGAGTGCTGAGCCGCTGGAGGTCAGCTCCCAGGGAGCAGGCAGGGCATACAACACAGCAGTGGTATCCACAGGTGACATGGCAAGTCCATCCAGAGGAAGTCCCTGAGGTGTGCCAAGTCCATCTCAGCCTTGGCAAGGTGAGAGGTCCCAGGAAGTGGCACAAAATATCTGCTGTGCACTCACCCAGCTGCGCCACGGTGCCAGGCAGGGCAGGTCCCATGGGGCCCTCAGTGGCCACTCTCTTACCTATGAGGGTGCAGCCTTGCCCCCCTAAAAGGGGTGCTATCAGATCAGACAAAACAGTTCACATAAGCAGATGGGTAAATGCCCACAGATTCAGGACACTGTTAGTGACCTCAGATAAACACTGTGCCCACTGCTGCCTTTTCCACAACACAATCTCCTGGAAAAACCAACTGACTGCACGTCTGCATCACTGTTCCCCAGGCACCTTCCATTTTTCAGAGCACAGCTTGTTTTATGTCTCTTCTGTTTTCCAGTGTCACTTTTTCTAGAGGTGTAGACTATGTCTTTATATTCCTGGAAATTAGCGCAATTCCTGGCACATACCAGATTTTTAGCAAATGTTGAGCCTTCCAACTGCTGGTTCCCTTCCCAAATGCCCAAAATGGCCAGATCTAGGCTAAAGCCATAGGCAGTAGCCAGGAACTCAATTCAGACCTCTGACACGTGTGGCTGGGACCCGGCTAAGCACCTGCTGACTCCGAGGGTTTGTGGGGAGTTGGAAGCAGTGCTTGGGAACTGAATCCAGACACTCCCTGTGGGAAGCAAGCTGTGAGGCCAAATGCCTTCAAGACCCAGTTCAAATGGAAAACAACTTACACTTTCATCGGTTTCTGTATCAAGGCCATTCTGTTGCATTTGTGCATTTCTGATGCTTTTATGGGTGGAATTCCTAAAGATGCTGGATTTCCAGCCATTTGGGGCCATACGAGTAACAGCCTCTTCACCACTTAGTTCAAGCTCTTCTGGCTGATTCTGCTTTCTAGATGTCTAAAAGGAAAGACAAACATGAAAGTGTGTGTGTGTGTGTGTGTGTGTGTGTGTGTGTGTGTGTGTGTGTGCTGGAGGGCAGGTTCCAGATAGGCGTAACTTCCCAAGTTCAGAACCGTAATGTATTTTTGAACATTATCTGCATTAAGGTGTTTATAACCCATAACAGCTTTTCAGCCTTTTACCTGGAAAACTATAAAGAAGCTTATCAGTTCCTAGAAGTAAAAAGGTTAACAACCACAGGAGGGTTAGGTTTAATTTGGAAAATAAGATAACTGAAATATACAGAGAATTTTCTAAAAGTTGACACAGGCTTTATTTAGCAGGTGTGCAGAAATCTCTGTCAGATGGTCACAGGTTGTGACCGTCACGGGAAGGAAAGGAGGGAAGAACAGTGAACAGCCACACTACCAAGGGCTCCGTTAAAGCCACAGTCAAGGGGCCCGGCACGGTGGCCTAGCGGATAAAGTCCTTGCCTTGTTGAACATGCCAGGATCCCATATGGGTGCCAGTCCTAATTCCGGCAACCCCACTTCCCATTCAGCTCCCTGACTGGGGCCTGGGAAGGCAGTCGAGGACAGCTCAAAGCTTTGGGACCTTGTATCCGTTTGGGAGACCTGGAAGAAGTTCCTGGTTCCTGGCTTTAGATCAGCATGGTACTGGCTGTTGAAATCACTTGGAGAGTGAATCATCGGAGGGAAGATCTTCCTCTCTGTCTCTGCTCCTCTCTGTATATCTGACTTTCCAATAAAAATAAATAAATCTTTAAAAAAAAAAGCCACAAACAAGAGGAACCTAACGCAGGCCTGCTCACTGCCAGGTAATACTGCCCTCCTCTCGGCTCAGTGCAGTTGCTGTGTCCTTCCCAGCAGTGCTGCGCTGATTCAGGCCACCCCAGAGGGGACCCAAGCTTATGCCCAGCTTCACTGCCTGTTGGAGGGCCATTCCCTCCTAGGGGGGTGGGGGTGGCACTCCAAGGGTTTCTAGCTCTAAGCTGTTGAGGAAACACCAGGTCGTGTGGCAACTAAACCAGCAGATGAGAGCCCCCTCACTCCATGTTTCTCTGCCTCCTGCACAAATGCTTAGAAGTTGAAGACAAAGTAAATGGAACTGGTCTTCCAGGTTGGAGGACGATGCAGCTGCCTGAGCCTGTGCACCTTGTGCACCCTCAGGTTTCTCCACATCTCCACGTCAGCAGCACAGGAGGAGGAGAGCAATGTCCAAATCAGATGTGGGAAAGGTGGGGATTCCCAGGCAGAGATGTTCAAGGGTCCTCAGTGGGCACAGCAGATGAACCACTGCTCAGGATGCACATGGCTCACCTCTGCCTCTGATCCAGCTCCAGCTAATGAGCACCCTGGGAGGCAGCAGGTGATGGCTTAAGTACTTGGCTATAGCTCAAGTATTGTTACCAATGCGGGAGACCTAGACAGAGTTCCAAGTCTGGCAACTTGGAAGTGAACCAACAGAGAGAGGATATTTTCTCTCTTTCTCTCTCACAAATAAATTAACATATTTTGATCATAAATTTGTATATATTTATATATACACACATAGATATACACAATATAGTATATATATAGAGAGAGAGCATATATATGTATGTGTATATATAAACAACCAAGAGCCTAAGCTTTATGAATGCCACAGCCATTAGAGTTCATGGGATGCAAGCCTCTGCCCATTTCCCAAGTGAGGACAGCAAACCTAATTTGGTTGAATGCCTTCCTAAGGTTCCTGCCTCACTGGTAACAGGCCTTTTCCATCACATGAGGCCACAGTGGAGTCTTCAAACACACAACTTTTCCTAGGAAATTCAGCTCATGGAGGATGTGTTTGAAAGGTCAGCACTGCCCACATCTGTTTGTTCACAGGGCACTGAGCAACAGGGCTGCCGGGGAGAGAGCTTGCCTCCTGTGGGGGTCCGACATGTCATCACTGGCCAAGCCACGGCCCTGGCAGCCTTCCATGACCGCGACGCTGACAGGGACTTCGAGGAGCTCTGTATATTAGCCAGCTAACTGGTGAAGGCCTCTCCGGCGACTAGACCAGAGGGAAACCACTGGCCAAGACAGCAGCGATTCCCTCTTGCTGGAAAATATGCGCTGGCAGGAGCAAGCTGGAGTTCCAGAGCTTCTCGTATCTCGTTCAACATTCTCTTCGTGGGGATCTGCACGTGTTAGTAACCTCTGTTCATCACACACTTATTTCATGATAAATCCCTTTTTAGAAAATAACCGTTTCATGGATCAATAATCAATCTATAATACTATCCAACCCTTTTACATAGTTCAGTGCCTTTTTAATATATTTTGGTGTCTGGTCCTTAAACCTCGGCTCTCCTACTATGTGTAGTATTGCAAATTTGGAAACTGTGAAGTTCAGTCACTTCTTAAAAGACAAGGCAAGTTTCCAACTATTTCTGACTACACGCACAGCAGAGCAATATTTAGAATTAATGCTAGAAACAAACCAAGTATCCAACTTCAAAGAAGTAACGGCCACAACATATTACTGTGAAAAACTGCTAGGTACCCACTAAAATGACAGCATCTTTATGTTATCAGAAACATTAATAAAAAGAATGCAGGTACAAACAAATCAAGCAAATATACTTTTACTGATGTAAGAATCTTGATCACAGAGTATAGTATTCAGCCACTTATTGTATAAAAGACAATGTCTTATTAATATGACTAATTTTTACCAATAAAATTTGTTCTAGGGACTGAAGTAGAAGGAATGATCTGTGTTTTTAAGACAACCCAATGACTCACTTCCTTGAGCCATCAATCTTGCTGTTGACCTGGCCAGGATTCTCAGGCAGCAAGTCTAACTGTCATGAGACTTCCCCGATCCGTAGGCACCGGAGCACCATGCCCCGAATCCTACCGTGCCAACTGCTTCTAACCCCAGGCTGGAAAAGACTGACAAACATTCCTGCGGCAACTACAAAGCTCCAGATCCAAGGAATGTATTCGTGATGTTTTTGACACTTCAATTTCTGTCCCCACCCTCTTCCATAGATTCTGAATTTCAGTCTTAGGGTTTGGGCTTTCAGGCAGCTCCCTGATCTGTGTTTATTTGTCAGCCTAGCACTGGCTGCCTCATATATTCACCATATAAAGAACGCTGCCTTCAGGGGAAAGCAGTGCCAGGAAGTGGGTACCTGCGTGGTCACCAGCTTGCAGTACACTCCTCCCTTCTCCATCAGTTCACGGTGGCTTCCTTGCTCCACGACGACTCCGTCCTCAAGCCCAGCGATGACGTCCGCATTTCGGATTGTGGACAGCCGGTGTGCTATCACAATGGTGGTCCGGCCTTCTCTGGCCTAGGGCAGAAAAGGACAGGCCCAGCGGGCCTCGGGGTCACAGTACTGACACACGCAAGCACAGTTAAACGGGTGGGTGCATGGTGTTGGCAACTATGTATACTCTAGATCTGAATGGGCCAGAGCCAAGGCACTGCTCTCCTCAAACAGATGAGAGGCAGCACGGGTTCTGAGCCCAACAGGGAGCTTTCCCCATTCACGTGAGGATGGATTATTCTGGAAAGGATGTTGACATGAAGAAAAACCAAGGTGTAATTACTACTAAGGCTTCAGTAGTGGCGACTCTTTCTGATATTCCCTAACCCTACCAGGTCCAAAGCTCACAGTGTAGTAGTATTGGTGTTTACTCAACCAAAACAAGCAAAGGGTCATTCCTTTTCACAGGGCTGCACACTTGTCTGAGGAGCCTAGTTCTTTCTCTGTAACTGATTTTCAAATAAACATATCTTTTCTTTGAAGCCAGACTACCGAGCGAATGATAGGTATGCAGAGAAATAAGATATGCTTTTGACTTTAAAAATTAGCAACTGTCACCCATGGCTGTGCAAACCTAGTCAAAACAAGGCTTTGACACAAACAGGGCTCTCAGATTCCCCAGAGATGACAAGATATTGGCAAGCAAACACCCTAAGTTCAAGGACAGCAACTGTTAAGAACCTTCTACTTGTTTTCAACACACAGGGATAAAAGCTAGGTCTAAACAAAGGAGTATGAATCCATACGAGTCTTTCTAGAACTTTGGTGAGACAGCAGAAAAACGAAACCTTTGGAGCCTTTTTGTGTAAATAATCATGTAAGCCATCCTGTGGGGCTTTTTTTTTTTTTGGTATTTTAAGATTTTTTTTAAAGGTGGGGAGACAGAGGCAAACACAGAGGAAGAGAATGCATTCTACACACTCCTCAAATGCCCTCAACAGCCTGGTCTAGGCCAGGCAGACATCGCGAGGGAGAACTCCAGTGAGGACTCCCACTCAGACTCCAGGAACCCAACCACTGGGGTTGTTATCTGCTGCCTTCCCCAGTGCATTGGTGGGAGGCTGAATCAGAAGTGGATGTGTCAGGATTTGAATCAGCACTCTGATACAGGATGCAGGTGTCCCAAGCCATGGGTTAACCCACTAAGAATCAGGGTCTACGTCCTGGGTCGTCTTCTCCCTGTAGAAGAGGCAAAAGCTAGTTAAGCAGTCCCAGCTACAACAATGGCATCTTGGGACAGCTTCATCAGTAGCCCAAAGTAGAGAGAGGCCTGGCTTGAAAAATACAACTCAGGAAGCATTAGAGGATCCAGAAGCAAATGGAGTCTGCAAGGGAGTCTCTCAGCTTCAACTAACGGGACTGGAAATATTCCAGACAAAAAGGGCCCTGCGTTGTTCCTGCACACACCATGCCGAGCAAAGCACTCAGCTGTAACAGGGCCAAGTCTTAGAGAAAGGAAAGCCCTCCAAGGAAGATACAAGCCCAGAGAGGGGAGGCTTGACTAAGGAGAACAAAAACACCAACTGACTATCCATCCTTCCATAAACACTTATCTTACCTGATTTAACCCAAGAAGTCTAAAATGAGGACCAGATGTTTGACCCAGTGGTTGAGCTTCCAGTTAGGATGTTTAACCCCCTATCAGGGTGCGGGATTTGTACCCTAGGTGCACACCAGATTCCAGCTTCCTGCTAGTCTACACCCTCGAAGGCAGCAGGTCTTTCATCAGGGTTAGGGTTAGCGTTAACCCTCAAGGTAGACTAAGCTAGGTTCCTCCCATGAAGCTGTGGCTTGGTAGTGATACTAAGATTCTGGAACTATCTGGGGCAGACACATGAACTCAGGGTTCTTTAAATGTGCTGCTGAGCGAGCATGTAGCCTAGTGCTCAGCACGCCTGTGCCCAACACTGGGTCATCAGCAGTGTGTTCCTAGCTCCGAGTCCTCACTTCAGCTTCCCGCCAGTGCATGTCCAGACAGAGGAAGGGGAAGGCTCACGCAGTGGGGAGTCTGCAGCCCCCCGGGAACACCTGCAGCATTTCCAGCTCCTGACTCTGGCCCTTGCCCTGATGCTGTGAACTCTTGGGGAGAGAACAAGTAGATGGGGGAGCTAACACATTAATATTCTCTCCCAGCTTCTTTTCTGTCTCTGACTTTACTTCTTAAACTAAAAAGCAGAAATGAAGCATCCATGTGTGTGCTTCAACAAACATAGAAGTTGAACCTCATTTTCCAAACAGCATCCATTTTGTGAAAAAACATGATGCCACTCCCAACAAAATATTTTCAACTGCTTTGTAGCTCGGCCGAGGTAACCACGGTTTTTTTCTGAATATTTTATTTTACTTTTGCATCATTCTTGGCATATTTTAACACAACCACTTTTGTTCAACACAACAGCCCACATCCAAGAAAAGAACACAGCTAAGGGGTTCACAGGCTCAGTGCACGTCGCCACAGCCAGCCAGACTGTTTCTGCAGCTCTGCAGACAATGCAGCCTGACAACCAGGAGCAAGCAGCAGACCTAGCTCACTAGACAGCTTCATGCACCCCTTACTGGGACATTTCTCAATGCAAACTCCTGAAGCATAGGCTAGCGATTTCAGGGACATTTCCTTCAGGCGTCAGGGGTGTACAGACCTTATCCAGAGCAGCCTGTACTTCCGCTTCACTTTCCGAATCCAAGGCTGACGTGGCCTCATCCAGCAGGAGGATCTTTGGGTTGCGGACCAGGGCACGGGCAATGGCAATTCTCTGTTTCTGGCCACCGCTCAGCTGGGCCCCTCTCTCTCCAACCAGCGTGTCAAATTTCTGCCACAGACAACCCAGAGGAGCAATGGAGGACTCCAAGTGGACACGAGTGGGGAGCTTGCAGAAGCGAGTGAAGACTAGGCATTTCATTTTGACTACTGGCTCAGAAGTTGAAATAGAATGAGCACACGATCAGGAAGAACTACTAGCGCATGCTCTCCATGCAGCGGGCTGTCAGCCATGGATGTAGGGATGACAGCCCGCTGTGTGAATAACTAACTCTGAAGAAAGAATTCTGTCTCTGGGGAAGCAATTCCCGAGGGCTGCGCGCCAGCAGAGGCCATACCTGTGGCAATTTCATGATGAACTCGTATGCGTTGGCTTCTTTCACGGCTTGCTTGATCTCCTCCATGGTGACATTCCCGCGGCCGTAGCGGATGTTCTCTGCGATCGTGGTAGAAAACAGCACGGGCTCCTGACTCACCACGCCGATCATCTCCCTCAGGTACCTCACGTTTAAGGTCCGGATATCCTGCCCATCGATGCTAATCTGAAAGGAGTATTTCCTATTAGATATTCTATGCCTTCTTATACCTCAAGCATCAAAACGTCACAAAATGCCTCAGCTCATTTTTGACATTTCATTATTTCCTTGGATAACAATCGGAAATAAACAGCAACATGCAAGAGTAGCAACAGAAAGTCTGTATTTTCTTTTCACATTTATTTTCCTAGGTACAGTTTTCTCATGGATGGATTTCTCTCTAAAAGCTATTTGTATTTTACAATGATACTTCAAAAAATTCGTGGAAAAGGAAAAAGCCAAGTCCACTTTAGTGCATAAATGTTCAGATCCATGCAGTATTTTCACAGTGTAAATTTGCCATAAACTTTCTGAACCCCTCTCAGTTTTTGAGGATCCCTCAAATGAATGGATCTTAAACATTTCTGCACCAAAATAAACATCTTTAACTCCATTTTTCATAAACTTTTAACACATCATTATCTTTAATTACTGCTATTAAATTTGAATAAAAATGGATACTTAATTTCTTAGGCCATCATTTTGATGGCCTCATTGTATTTAGTAGACTACTACCCCACTTTAGCATTTCCCACCTGTTAGATGCTTGGCTTACTTCACAGTCATTGTAGAGAATTACCAAGCCGAAGTACACAATTTATTCCAACTCCTTCAGTAATAATTCCTTACCTGTATAATGACTGGTGCTTGCTGGACCTTTATGGCTTGTTGACAAAAGGATGAATAAACCACTTCTTAAAATTTTTTTAGAAATTGGGGGCTGTGTGTTGTGTTCACTGGGTTAAGCTGCCACCCTACAATGCTGGCATCCCATATGAGCCAGTTCAAGCCCCAGCTGTTTCACGTCTAATCCAGCTCCCTGACACAATGTAGAGAAGCAGTGGAGTGGGCCCATGTGCTTGGGCCACTGTCACCTGCGCGGGGGACATGGATGAAGTTCCAGGCTCCCAGCTTCAGCCTGGCATACTCCCAGCTACTGTGGTCATTTGGGGAGTCAATCAGTGGACTGACAGTTGACCGCTCTCTCTGTTTCTCCATCTATTTCATTCTTTCAGATAAATAAATCTTAAAAATATTTTTTTTAGCAATTACAATCTTGTCAAGTATGTATACATTTGTCTGATTCATAGGACTTTACCAGTATCACATGTAATAATTTTAACATTTCAACCATTATTGCCCATCTGCAGCAAGTGTGAAGTGACAGCTTTTATCTGCGTGTATCAATAAGTGAAGCCATTTCTTGAAATCTTTCACAAAGCTCCAGCTTCCCCATTCTCTGGTCTGAGCTGTTGATAGCTTGGGTTTTGGAACTCATTTCTGACACTGAGAACACAGAGGACCCAACTTTGGAGTTCCCCAAAAGCAGGGTAACAAAAGCAACACCAGGTTTTTCCAAGATTACTTATCAATCTTATTAGATAAATTGATCCTTTAATTTATCCTATGACACTTTGTATTCATTGCTGCAATATCCACTTTATCCCAGGGCCTTTTTATGTTTTGGGGTTTCCTTGCCTTACGATCTGCTGTTTTCACAATTACTGGATCACAGTGCATTTTCACACCAGGGTAATTCAATATCCTGATGTTGGACAACGGAGGAAATTCTGAAAACAGGCTGCTGGACTTTCTCAGGAGACACATGCTGGGATCAAGGTGTCTAGATGTCCGGGAAGCATGGTGATAAAGCCAGGGATCAAAAATCTCAACAACAAATCTGAGGAACAATAAATGTACTTTCCCTGGCAGCAATTCTCCGGGAGCTGGTAACAAAATTTTTAAAAGCCAAGAACCAGAGAAAGACTTTTCTCCACGTCCAGAGAAGTCTTACAGACGATCCCACTTTGTCTCTGACAGATTTAATTGTTGCCCTAAGGTATCTAATGACACTGGTTATCACAACACCAGGCACGGCTACATGGAATGTTTGCCCAAACCCAGTAACCCCAGGGATGTAACCCCGCTGTGGGACAAATGCTTGTTACTCAGTTCAGTGGGTTCTGAAAGAGCTCAGCTGGGAGTGGAAGACAGTACTGTCTAGCTCCTGGGGCTTTTAGGAAGTAGGTGAAGCCAGCCCAGGGGAGCATGTGTCCCTGGGAGGCATGGCAATTTTGTAGCTCCTGTGACAAGCCTGGATTCACTTGAGCATCCACCCCAAGAAGCCCGTTTCCAAGAACCAATCTCTACCTGCTTCTCACTCTGCAGCCTTCAGTTCCTCCCACTTACCACGCCCTCCGTGGGGTCATAGAGCCTCTGCATCAGCTGCACTGCCGTGCTCTTCCCGCAGCCGCTGCTCCCCACCAGGGCCACCGTCTGCCCGCTCTGCACCTTCAGGCTGAGGCCCTTCAAGATCTGAAGGGGAGGGAAAGGCAGCTCTACATAACCACGCCTTAAACACAGCACCATTCAGCCCAGGTTGGAGTTTGTAAAAATCCATCAGATAGAGGATATAATCACATCAAGATCACAGTAATAGCAACTTCATTAAGGCGGTTCTCAGTGAGCTGGAATTGGGAATTCCTATAACCTGACAGTACCTTCACATTTGTTCGAGACGGGTAAGAAAAATGAACATCGTTGAACTCCAGATCCCCTTTGATGCTCTCAGGCTTGTGTCCTCTCTCTGAAAAACTGTCAATTTTAGGATTCTAAATAAAACAAAATTCAATGACTATTTCATCATAGGGCAAAACAACTGCATTTTAAAGGAATACGATTCAGCAAATTCCCAAATCAAGATCTGGGATGCGACACCTCTCTCACACATGAGACTGAACCCAACGAGAAGACTGTGTGTGTGTGTGTGTGTGTGTGATTGCAGGAAACATTCCCTTTCAGAAAGTCTTTTCTGAAAAGTATACAGGAAATATTCATTTCACTTCATAAAATATTTCCTTGTAAGATCATTAAAACTATCAGATTCATTTATTTATACAAATGCAATAATTATAGAAATATTCTGTTATTTATATCATCAGATATTTTAGCATTTATTAAAGCCAGATTATTTCTAAACAATAGACTAAAGGAACTGGGTTGAGAAGACTGAATGATAACAGAAAAAGTATTTATGAACATGTGACCTTTTTGCATATTGGAAGCTGAGCAATTTTCTCATGACATGGTCAAACAGGAACATTGTATTATCAAATTATCTGAAAACTATCTGGTTATCTACTATGTAAACACAGGAAAATGCTTTTCTGCTGTAGCTATTTCAATCTATCCAATACAGTTGATTCAAAATCACATCAAATATAGTGATTACTTTGGGAGGTGACGACCCACAGCAAGCAGTGGCCATTTTCATCTACCTCCTATGCATCCCAATAGAAACCCTAATATTCTCAGTCTGGCTACACGAAAGAGAAAACCTAGGAACAGAAATCTCTTTGCCCTGGAAAGTGGATAATAGTAATACACTAGAATAATACAAATACACTAGAGCAGGCATCCTCCTACAAAATAAGATCCGTGGCATCATATCACCTGAAGATAAACTTTCAGAAAATCAAGAGGGATGATGTTCCACTCATTACTGAGAGGTCAGTTATTTTATAAAGCTAAATTTCATGATATTCAACACAACGAACTCAATAGGGTTGACCCAAAAAATACATAACCCACAAGCAGATTTAACTATCCAAAGCTCAAAGACTTCTCCAGCATGAAAACCGGCAGTGACTTACGCTGTCGATAATATTAAAGATCACATACGCAGCTCCCCTCGCGTTGGCAAAGGCGTCCACACACGGGGCAGCCTGACCGACACTAAAAGCCCCAATGAGGATTGAAAAAAAGACCTGAGCAAAAGAACAGGAGCAAAAGTTACTTTCTGGCATTCACTGCTACATGAAACATGGCTTGTCTGAAACACACGCACAGACACAAAGGCTTATCCCATTTTCAAAAGCAATTAACAAATAAAAATTTACAAAGTTAATACAACACATTGCATTGCATGAATGAGTTTTTCAAACTCAGAAATATGTTTTGTCTTCTTTTCTAACTATCTGTTGTCTTCTCCTGAACACGGAGATGGAAGATTTCGCAGATTGCTGGGTTGACCCTGAAGCTAATGCTGCCAGAAAGAAGCACGCCCATAGTGTTACAGTCATTCCTATAGGGCTTATTCTACCAACGCATGGAACCGTACACAAAGTTCATTGTGGATTATGCACAGTATTCAATGGGCTCTATAGAACTTGCTTTAACACAGCTGCATTTTACACATTCACACACACACATCATTTTACAGCTTAATAGTAAAGTAACATAATCGAGAAAAACACAAAGAAAGAGAAGCTACTCTTTTATCTCTGAGGTAAAATCTCTTGACCGTAAAGCCACCCGTTTAGAACCCAAACACTGGTCAAATACTGTTAAATGAAATCACAGATAAGGCTCAGTGAGAGAAGAATGTCTCCATAGAATTCCCTGCTCTCCACAGCAGGCTCACTTCACGACCGGCACCACTCTGGGCCTATGGGGTAAATGTTACTGTCCGTGCTAAAACTGAGAGGACAAACTCAACACGAGAGGCCACTGGCAAAGTCTGGACTCAATCTGCTCGCCTCACACATTTCAGGAGGAAGTGGAGACAGGTGACACACTCGCACGCTCTCAGTCAGCGAGCAGATGGAAGTGAGGACACACAGACCCAGCTTTTAGGATGGCGAGGCCAAACAACCTGTGGCCCTCAGTGGCATCTGAAACTATCATGTGTAAAGCACCTTGAACATGCTACCATCCAGGGTAACCCCGTGTCAACATCAAAGAGCCACATCAGGCCCAGGATCCTCTACTTGGAAGACAGGGCAGTGATAGTTTCAAAAGATTTCATGTTCTGATTGTCTAATGTGCAGAACAATGGTTACAAAATATATGCTAGTTTAGAAAAAAGATTTTAAAAAGGTATATTATTTTGATACTAATTTTGCAAGAAAACAAGTCTGTGAATAGAGGAAGGTATCTAGACTAAAAGTTTACCAAGTATATATGGGTTATTAGACATAATCTTAATGTCTAAAATTCTACATTTTATTTTTAGTATATATTGTTTAATAACATTAAAGGAGTATTCTTATAATGAAAAATGAACAAAACTCACTAGTCAAGATAGTTGAAACTTTTGTATTAAGTAAACTTAATGACTTCCTATACAATGACCTATGTAGCTTCCTCTTTTATAACAGAACATCCCATGAGAATGGTTCCAATCATTATTTGTATAGTGGCAAGTCTTTCCCATTTCTTGTTATATGCCATTTCTCAAATGGCCTAGCCACATGATATTATCCTTTTCCAATCCTGATTATGGCTTCCACAACCCACAAATCCAACTAGGCCAGCCGGATAGCAAAGATTCAACAATAGACAAAAATCCATATTCAAGACCTGACCTCTGAAACGGACGGTTAAAAAAGAACATAAAAGTAGACAGAGAAACGGTATTTTCAAATTCTTCATAAGCAGTATGGAAGGTGCTCACCGTCATTGCATTCCCAATGGTGTATTCTTTGGATATAACCAGAGTGGACCCATACCAGAAGGCCAGTGCATACGAGGCATAGATCAACAGGAAGGCAATGCCCATGGAGATGTTTGCTGAAATGGCTTTCTTAATTCCAATCTTTTTGGCATTTTCTAAATGTTTCTGATACCTATCAGAAAAGAAAAGGGGAATGTGATGAAGAACAACAATGCTTCATTGAGCCGCAGTCACCCTCATCGAGGTGACAATCTGTTGTTGGTGAGATCCCTCTTCCTGGGAACTGAACTAACTCGGGATCAGCTAGATAAGAACAGATCCAGGCCTTCTCTTTCTTGGCCTGAACCCATTCCCCTTAGTCCTGTGATGGTTCCAGAACTGAAGTCTCACCACTGGTATATTAAAGAACTTTTCCACCACCAGCCTGGCTGGCATCACAAGTCAGGTGGAAGCAGAGAAGCTAGATCAAATGTAAACACTGCTCCAGACTTCTGAAGAGATTCTCATGGAAACTGCATCCTCCCTCTGTAGCCCCATTAGTCAAGGGACATAAATGTTACAAGTTCTGGTAACAAACCTGAACTTCTGTCTTTGATGTGTGCGTGTGTATGTAAATTAGCATGACCTCCCATCTTGAAGGTAGGTACAAGGTTATAGAGTATAGGACTATATAGGACACAGGTTCCTATTCAATTTTTCTAGATTTTGTTTTGCCCATACTAGGCCTGGCATAGTGGCTTAATGGGCTTATCCTCCACCCACAGTGCTGGCATCCCTTATGGGTGCCAGTTCATGTCTGCTCCATGTTTCAATCCAGCTCTCCGCTTATGGTCTGGGAAACAGACAATGACCCAAGTCCTTGGGCCTGTGCACCCAGGTGGGAGACTTGAAGGAAGCTCTTGGCTTTGGATTAGCTCAGCCATTTGGGGAGTCAATCAGCATATGGAAAATCTCTCTCCTTTGTAATTTTGCCTTTCAAATAAAAATGAGACAAATCTTAAAAAAAAAAAAAATAAAAGAAAATCCCACACTGTAAGATTACTGTGAGGTACATAAGAATTTACATGGTTGGCAAACCTGAATTTTCCCATTCTTCTTATTATAATTGTACCCAGATTTCATCTTTTCCTGAATTTTGTTCATTTTATTGCTATTATAATTTAATACTAATTCAAATTCGTATTACTAGCCTCTAGAATTTTATATCAAGATACAAATGCCTAGAACAGTTCTTAAACTTACAGAATTTTACATCAAATTGAACTAAGCCTACTTTTCCTTTCTAGGGCCAGTTCATTTTGGCTCCTGGAATCCAGGGGGGAAATACTCCACTGGATATACAATTAAGTACTGAAGGAAATTCCATAAATTAGAGTGTTTCTCTTAATAACGACAAAAATTCATTTTTTAAAATTTGGTTCAACCAGATGAGCGAATTATTAACTTTTAAAAAATGTATGCTGCCACCGGAAATGTTCATCTTCCAAATTGCTTACAGCACTGAGCACCCCCGGACTTTCCTGCCTGCTGTACTCTGCTGGGGGCTATGACTGGGCAGGTGGCCTGGAAGGACATGCTCGGTGCAGTGTCCCCTGGCGCAGGCAGGAAGGCTCCTGTCTGCCTCCCAGTGTGACCCAGGCTGCGGGAACAGCAGTAATTACCTTCTCTCAGGCGAGACTCAGCACACTGACATCCTGGGGTGCGACTGAGGGTTAGTGGGCCCCACGGGGACTACTGTGTACAGGAAGCAGTGGTGAGAGACACAAAAGGAAGAGGTTAGAGAAGCAGACACACATTGCCTTTGAAGGAGGATTAAAGAAGAGCAAGAAAAAATGAAACAAAGCGATTAGAGAGACTGCTTTTAACACCGGTTTTTATTCCAAAGAACTATGGGTATCAGGTGTGCCACAGAAGGGCAGAAGAAAACACATGGGGTCGTCCTTCAGCTAGTTTGGGGAATCGTGTTACTTACAAAAAAAAGTTAAATGGTTATTTACATTCAGGTAAAGCAGAATAGAGGTATGTATACTGTGTCCCCAACTCTTTGAGATGGTCTCCCTGAACACAGACAGCTTCGTAGATATCAGTCATGCACAGCAATGTGTTTGCTTGCTTTTTAAAGAGACCACTCAGGCCCTCCAGCCCAGGGACATCCCAAAGAGCTGGCTCATCACTGCGGGAGCCAGCAGGTGTGGTAGCCCAGACTTGACTGTGATTTAAAAGCCAGGGCCGGAGCAGGAAGCTCTACCTGGACTAAAGAAACCCTACCCAGGCCTATGGTGGACTCTGGCCTGCACCTGGGAGGCCCCAGTTCTTCAGGTTTGCCTCTTCCCCTGTAAAGTCACACAGAAGTGAAAGCAGCAATAAAGTAAGAATATTTTGAGAGTTGCATCTCCATATAATTGTTTTCCTGTAACTCCAAGTTTTATCTTGTGCATTTACAAGCAGTCCTCTCAGAAGGGCACTCTTGGGCCTCACCAGCCTGCTAAGAAAGCCCCTGGAATGTGAAGAACCCTGTGGAATAGCCTCAAGGCAACCTGTAGCCATCCAACTGCAAGAGGTGCCGAGCGCTGGTAGAGGAGTTAGTGTAACAGCGAGCAAGGTACAAGGCAGATGCCACAGAAGAATGAGTCACAAGACATAGCAGCTGTGGACAAAGGATCCTCCTGACCTTTCCAGCTCCTTGTTCTGGCCCCCGAACGCTATCACAGTCCGGATGGCCCCCAGTGCCTCCTCTGCCACGGCACCTGCTTTTGCATATGCAGCAAGTTCTTTGTCACTGAAGGTCGACAGTATCTGCACAGGAGAGAAACAGTCTTGATGCCTGTGTAGGCAAAAATTCAAACAACATTCTGCTCCATTCCTTAACCTCTCTTTTTCTCCCTAAAGTCTATCCTTTACCTAAACATCAACGTCACACAGCAAATGACATTCAGAACCTGATCCACAGGCTGCCCACGTGCTATAAGAGTTAGACCTGGTCCACCTACTCAGAGGCCCCTCAGAGGGTTCAGCAAGAAGAAATCCATACATAAGCCTCAGGCTGAGGTTTGGGGGAAGAGTGTCAAATTTCATTCCTATGTTTTTCTTGTTCATTTTGGGATAAAACAAAATCTTACTGCTTCAACAGATTTCACCATCTTGCTCTTTACTGTGTCATAATTTACAACGACCCAGCAATATTCCCAGATTTATTTACGGGCATTCAATGAGAAATAGGAAGGCTAAACAAGCTGTTTCAGGAGAATGATGAAAGAATAATCAAAACAAAAAATCAGTAAGTACATTGTGAAGTAAATGATCAGCTCCAGAAGGAGCAAAAAAGTTAGTGAAATTTCTCAACTCAAGTGTTGATTCAATAGCAGACTGTGTGCATGTGATTGCAAGGCAAAGCTAGCAGATTGCCCCTTAGCAGGTGACAGTCCAAAGTAACTAAAACACAGCCAGAACTCCCCTTAAGGGGTAACAGATGAAAGTAACTAAAACACATCCAAACTGTATCGAAAAGTTTTATACACTTGTAATTTGGAGCGATGTTCTGTTTTAAAACCGTTTCCCTAAATAAGCACATATCGTGTAAGTATAAGACCCTTACACTAATATGTCTCAAGATTTACTCAAATAAATCATATAATGCAACAAATCTGTAACTGAAGTTAGAAATGCGATTTTTTGAACCACATAAAATTAAACTTTTTATTAAAATACTATTATAACAACTACTTCTGGACACAATTCCAACAGACATTTAACACAGATCCACAGCATGCAAGTACCTGAATGCCAGCTACTAAGGATAACTCTGAGTGTGGGGGTTAGCGCACACTGACAGTTCCCACTATTTACACACCTTTGCCCAGACAGCTGCAGACAGCCCCAGGACAGGGCTGATGGCCATGATCACAAGCGTAAGTTTCCATCCTCTGATGAACCCTACTATGAATCCTGCAAAAAACGTGGCTACTGCTTGAAAGAACATTCCAACCTTGTCACCAATTCCTTCACTGATTTTGGAGATGTCACTAAAAAAGATCACATCTAGGTGGTTACAGGCGGGAGGTCTTCGGTTAGGAGGGCGACGCAGACAATTCACAAACACGCGGGTCAGACAGGGTCACACTACTGCAAGCCTCCCTCAGACTCTTAGCCTCTTGAATGAGTGTCCCCTTCTGAATACTGTACAAAGGAAGAAATTCAGGATTAGCTCAGGCGTCTAAGACGTTAATAATGTTAAAACTGATGCTATTCAATGAAGGAATCCTATTGGAGAAGCAGTCACCTTTTGCACAGAAGCGTGTGTTTACAAGCAGGAAGGGTGTTCAACAGTATGAGGGAAGAGCTACGGGGAACTATCATCTATTAGAGCAACAGCATCCCTAATCTGAAAAATCCAAATTCTGAAGGACTCTGAAACCTGAAACTTTTAGAGTGTGGGTTTGAGGCTTGGAAAGTTTACGATGTTCAGAAAGTTTCAGAATTCAGAGTATTTTGGATTTTAGACTCAGGGTTTAAAACCAGTAAAATCTATGAAAATATTTAAGATCCAAAAACTTCTGAAATCTGAAACCCTTCTAGGCTCAGCATTTCCAATAAGGGATATTCAATGAGCTTAAGGTGCTTGCTTCCACCCTTACCCCAACTATCTGAAAAGAGAAATCTGACCACAGTGTCTTCAGCCCAAACCCTCCCAATGGCTGCTGCTTTGGCAGGGGGTGAAAGCTGGCACTCTTACTGAGGTCTCCAAGACCCTAAAAATGCCTTGATCTTTCCTCCTCTTTGGGCCTTCTGTGCTCACTGAGCTCTGGCTAGCACTGCTGTCATGAAAAGTTTACCTTCAACCTCCCCCTCCTAGAACAACAGCACCGAAAGGACAATGACCTCCACTTTGTTCATGGGGACATCACAAATACCCAACACTGTGTTCAGCATCCCACAGGGATGCAGGGATTTGTTGAATGAGTGCAGAGTCAATATTTAGTAAAGCAAGACTCTCTGGAAAATGGATTCGATCGTTTATTCATTCATTCAGTTGCTTTTGCTGAGGGAGGGCCTAGCGCCTGTGGGGCCCTGTAGAAAGCTCCTTAGAAGTAACAAGACCTGCGCTCTGTCCTAACACACACCGATTCTTCCATGGGGGAGGGAGGCACTAAACGGCATGCAACCCACTTTTTAAATGTTTTTATTTTTCGTAATGCAGTCCCATAGGCTCAGGGATTTCCCCTTCCACCTGTGAAACCTACATTTATGAGCAAGAAATGGATGTCAGATTGGTCCTTTCCCAGGACGCAAATGCTCACCAAGTCATATTTTATTGCTGATAATCTTTCATAGTCAGTGGATAATTTCTTTACAAAAATGTGACATCAGTAATTCACTTACTCTGTTAGCCGTGTATTGAGTTCAGCGGTGTTGTTGATGTCAAACCAGCCTACTTCCTGCCTTAGAATAGCATGAAAAAATTTCTGCCGAATTTTCTTAATCTGTCGACCAGCTGCCAAAGTCCAAAACGAAACTTGTATATAGGCAGCTATGAGAACTCCAGCACCTAATCCTGAGTAGTAGTACGCATACCTGGAGAGTAATTAGAAAGGCTCTTTTAAATATTTTTTGTCTTTCAGGAGAGACTGTGAGGGACATCCTAATGAATACACAGTGAAGTTTTGACACTTTTTTCAAATTGCAAGATGATGATGATCTCTGTAGGCAAGTCTACTTCCTTGAACTATCAAAGAAAAACAGATACATCTTTATGCTTACTGTAAAAACAATGTCCATGATTCACTTTTAAGTGATAATGACGATTTGTAGAGAAAATTTAGCTTCTCTTTCCTAACTGTGCTTTCCTATATACTATGCTTAAATATTTTGTTGTACTAAAAAGTTCACTTCTACATACATATTGCAAACTTAGGAATAAAGAGAGTGCACCTATGAAATGACTCGGTACGTTTATATTGTTTATTTGAAGAATCAAAAATATCTGTTTGATAGAATTTGAAAATATCTTAAATAATAAAATGTCATGAATTCTAACAAATTTGCAGGGAAAATGTAGCTCAATTAGTAGGGAGTTTTTTAAAATGAGACATACAGTTTCTACATTTTCAAATACATTTTTAATCTAATTTCACAAACTATTTCTAGGCAGATGCCTCCAGCATACAGACTGGCAAGCATACAGACTGTTGTTCAGTGAACAACATTAATTGATATGCACCATGCAAACATTTTGATTTTGCTGGGGATTTCTGTTGGGAAGACTAAAGAGAACAGCATAAACAACACAACTGGATCAATTAACAAAATTGGAATTGAGACAATACAGTAGGTAAAGGTCTCATTTCAATATTAAATGAATTGAAATGATTGACTGCTCCGTGGATATGTAAGAAAGCACCCTAGTTCTTTGGAACTCTGCTGAAGTATAGCACACACAAGACATAGGACAAGACACAGGACAGTATACACAGACGCAGATAGGACAGAAGCAGCAGCAACAGGTGAGCACCTGGGCACAGAGCAAAGGTGGTGTTCTGGTATTTTTACAACTCCACAGTTTGAAATTATTTTATAATGAAACGTTAGAAAATGTACAGCACATATGCATATCAAAATTACCTAGTCATTTCTTCTTCCAGAATTCGGCCTGGATTTAGCAGCGTCAATGAAAAATTCACTAAATAAAAATAAACAGAAAGCATTTCTAAGAGTGTATTGTTGGTAGGCACTGTCAGGTGCAGGGAATCTATCAAAGAGTCAAATGTGTGAAATCTACAGAAAGGCACAAATCTGACCTGGTGGTTAAGATGCCTGAATCAGAGTTCTGGCTCTAATCCTACTGACACCACTTGGGATCCAGCTCCCTGGAAAAGCAGTGGTTGATGACCCAAGTTCTTGGGCACCTGTCTTCTGCAAGGCGACTCTGGAGCAGCTATCCCTTGGCTCCAGCTAGGCAGGCATTTGGGGCAGTGAGCAGTAGATGGAAGATACTTTTCCCCATTGTGTAATTGTTCCTTTCAATACACACACAATCACATATGTAAATATACATATTTTTATGCCTGAACTCCATATCAGAGTGTCTGGTTATTCCTGGCTCTGGCTCTCTGCTTATGCACACTTTGGGAGGCAATCATGACAGCTCAGGGGACTGGGTTCTGGCCACACACACAAGACCTGGATTTCCAGAGCTGGTTTCAGTGTGAGTTGTTAGCACTTTAGGACTAAGCTGGTAGACTAAGCTACGGTGCCATCTGTCCATGTGTATCTCCATCTCTCAAGAAAATAAATGAAATGTAAAAATTAAAATAAACAATAAATCATACCTATCAAAGGTGCTATAGTTAAGGTAACAAAAATGAATCTCCATACTCTAGGGAACTCTTCTCTCGACTCAGGTAAAGAACTCTGGGGCTTACGCCCAGGACCCTGCAGCTCCTGTGAGGCAGATGAGTCTGTCCAGCCTCCTTGCCCATCTCGCAGTCTTGGAACCTTCCATGGAGCAGGCTTCAAAGGCTGCACAGGTTGGCAGGGATAGATCCAGGCCACAAAGCACACAGGAGGCAGGAGGAGAGGTTAGGATGGAAAATGTGGGGCTTCCAAGTGATGAGACCACTCTGCAGATACTTCTTCTGTGGACTGTTTTCTGCATCTGTTTTTCTGACTTGCACATGCCCTAAGCAAGAGCAAGACTGAACCACATTCACCACGAAGGAAGGGAAACCAAAGATCTGGAGGGGAAGTCAGCCAACACTGGCAATTAAGTCCCTGCATCCATATCCTACTGACTGGTGTTCTCAAGATGGTAGTAACAGGAAGGCAAGACTTTGTCCCACAACTTAGTACATGCCAGGCACTGAGTAATTGATGTGTAAAATCATTTACTTTTCATAGCAACATGAGGCAGGATTATTTTTTTTTCAGAAGACTTTTTTAAAGGTTAAAAAAAAAAAAAGAAAAAGGAAGGAGTCTGAGCTTCATCCAAGTCTCCTACACAGGTGACAGATCCCTAGTACGTGAACCAACACTTGCTGCCACCACGGATACACATTAGCAGGAAACTGGACCAGAAATGGACTAGCCAGAACATGAGCCAGGCACTCCAATGTGGGATGTGACTACTTCAGCCACCTCCCCAAATACGGCATCAGAACTTCTCATACACTCCCCATTACAAGAAGGGAAACTGAGGCAGAGTCTCACAGCTAGCAAATGGTAGGGTAAGTCAGCCCCAGATGGCTTGGCCTGTGGGCCTAACAACGTAGTATATAGATTGATTCACTGAAAACTATCTCGTTTAACTGATCAAAAAAACAAAGGGCGGCAACATAAGAAGTAAATCACCTGTACCTGCCACAGCCACAAAATCAGCATAAAACAGCAGCACAGCCTTGCTGGGAACACTGAGCCAGAGCCTGGCAGTTCCCACTTCCCATGAAGCCCATCTCTTTGTTCTTTTATCATGTGTCAACAGCCCAGAGGTCATGTTTTCTAGACCTTGTGTATCCTCCTTATCTTTTCCCAAAGAGAGATAAGGTTCAAATTCATTTAAAACAAACTACTGTCTGAGGCAATGACAAAACAGTGACTTAATTGGGCTCTCAAGATTTTAACCCCTACAAGTTCAAGGTGATAGTTAGGAACCCAGCTGGTCCTCAGCTCAGTGACCCTGAAGGGATTACACCTGTTCCTCCTCTTGCTAATTCAGCCCCTGTAAGTTCACTTTCTTCTTTCCCAGGGAGCAGACGCTCTGTCAATCACAGAGGAAAGCCCAGGTCCAACACAATGGTGCCCAGACAGGTGCAGGGAGTCCCAGAAACCTGCGTTTGGAACTCAGGATAGACGGCGATTTTAACCCTGTGCTATTTGGAGGAAACCCTGTGGATTCTTTCTGCCTCTCAACTTAGAAATCCTTTTCTTCTCCTTGAACAAGTTCCCCAGTGAGAAGCCATAACTCGAAGTGTCTCGATCTCTTCCCAGAAACAGCTTCCCAGATTTGACCTGTCCCCTTCTCATGGTCCCAGGCCAAAAAAGACCACCAAATTCTGAGTTAGTAATCCAACAAGACCCAAAGCCCTTTGGAGGAGGCCCCAAATCGCTGTGGTTTGGAGACCATGGGGAGGTCAATGTGGCTAGTGTTCCCCCAGCACACCCTTGCAGGGGCCCAGTGGTTTGGCCCTGTCCAGCACAGGTAGTTTTCATGCTGATTGGCCTGTCACAACCACATAGGGTCCTTAAGGAAACACGGATGTCCAAGCTGCCCCGAGCCCAACTGGTCAGAATCTTTGGCTGAATATCTGATTTTCAGAAAAACACTTCAGTACCTTCTAATGTATCAAGAGAGAGAATCCCCTCTGCAGGTCCCCAAATACTTCCTACATGGGAAGGCCTTGAAGCTATTTGTCCATTTCTAAGAACTCCCATAGAACTCAACTACTTTACACATGAAGACACAGGATTGTGGAGGGGTGGATTCATTTTAAAGTCCTCACACCTAGTTTTCCCTAATAATTACTGATGACTATATTCTAGACACTTGGTGTAAATGATCTCATTTAATTCTATCAATAAGTCTATGGTTATCCATCAAGCATGGGAAGAGTAAGGAATGTAGGGGTTAATTCTCTGCCAATGGCCACTCATTGGGTGGGGGACCTGAATAATAATAAAATAGTAACAGAAATGTATACATGGAGGATAGGGTCGGGGAGAAGCAGTTCTCCTGGTCACTTCAGCGACTCAAATTAGTATCTATCTTCCGTCATTCTCCTGGGTACTCCTTTCACCACACAGAAATATTTACCATGATGGAGAGCTGCAGATTGGCCTTGCAGTTCAGGCAGTATGGGCAGTCAGCTGCACTTGCTCAGGGTACAAAAGTGCATTTCCACCTCAACTCCAAGGAGACACAAAGATGCGTAGGGTGAGGCCGTTTCCTGCACATATTTTCCTAGATGATACTAGTGACAAAGAATCATTATCAAAGATCTCAAGTGCTTGATCTCCCGCAGAAGAATGGTTTTCAAGACCTTTGTCCTTAAGGTTTTGGATGTGAAATGCTCTGTGCATACTTTCTTCATAGAGGAATCTTTGTGAGGGAGTCACCCTGTCAGGGAGCAGCTTTGTTCTGTTGACAAGGATGGGCTCTGTTCACCGTCAGTCTCTGCTAGATCTTCCTGTAATTTAGACCTCTTATCCTTCTAGGGTTCCCTTTTCCTTTGGCTCCCGTTAAATCTAGCTGTCCAAAACCTCAACGATTCTAAAGAACTGACTCTAAACAAGCAACATCTCTGAGATGAGCAAGAGATTCTGGTAAATGCTCTAACCCCTCCTAACTCTCATAGTTTGACGAAACTTTATAACCAGTGGACACCCTCAGTAACCTTTGAAAACTTCCTTTTCTCCAAAGGTATGAGAACATTATTTTTACAAACTACCAAAACACAGGAAATGGAGAGTCATAAGATCTGAAGAATTTTCTCTTCCAAATTATCCCCAACAGCCAATAATGTTCAACATGGCTCTGAAGGGTCAGGGTCATAAAAAGTAGGGTTGACAACCTGGAGACTACACTAAGGCAGAGTTGGCAACTCTTGTAAGCTTATCATTTTGGCAATTACAGACCTCTGAATTGCTTGTGCTATTCCCCAAGGAGATATTGAATTTGACCCTGGACACAGGACATAGCAACTGTCTGGCACATCCACCTGTCAAAGCCACTCAGCTGTATAATTAGTAACAGCGGGGGAAGGGAAGCAAGCAAGCATTGCAAATAGGAACAGTGTAGAATTATTCCATCTGTTTAGCTGCAAAGCTTTACTCACCCTTCTCCACCCTGGTACCCCTTGGAGGACTACAGCCTTCATGCTTGGTAACAAGCCTAGAAATCTTCCTTACAAGTGGACTCTGCTTAGTAAGCTACCATACACCTGGGAGCCCCACCCCATGCTGTGGCCAGGGACTCTCTCACAGATAACAGTAACTCACAGGCCTCCTTTGGCCTGGCTTTTGAGTGAGTTCTACCACACAACTTTTTCACACGGAAGCCATTCACACTTTAGGAAAGTACTATATTCAGTTTTGTTTGACTGCTTCCTACCCCCAACAGCACCCACCAAGTAGACACACAAACTGGGCATAACTTTTAAACAGGGAAGTAGGAGAGAAAAAGTAAAACCCTGAAACAGAGCTATAAGCTGAGCATAACCACAAGTACCATGATGCTCTCCAGTACATTCGGAAATCTGTTGGTTATCTCTGGTGGGACGCCACCTAGACAGACTCTGTTGTGGCTGCACGGTGTTTAAGTGGAGGCCCTTGTCTGCTTCAGTCAGACACAAAGCTTCCTATTCCCTTAGCCTGGTTTGAAGGACAATCACCATACTTTTGTTTCTTGATCCTAAAATTAGTATCTGAGAAATTTTCTGAGAATTTCACAGCTCCATCTATGCTAGCTGCAAAGACTCAGAGACCCAAGTCATTGCACTTCCATTTCCACCCCGTGAACAAAATACTATAGGCTGAAGATAAAGCTGAAACACACTTACCTGGAAAGGAGAAGTTTTCTGCAGTGTTAACAAATTTATCAGTCATTTCTCCAAAGACAATCATCATGAGAGGGAGACCTGACCCATGAGCTACAGCCATGATGGTGCCCAGCAGCATAAACAGCCTGTCCTGCCAATCAGAGTACCGAAACTGCAGAGGAAAAGAGGAAATGCAACAACACTCAGCGTGTGTCATGGAATTTGCTCTTGGAGAATCCTGAATGAGCAGGACAGTCAGCTGGGGCGGAACAGAGGAAGTCGAAAATGTGGAGGTTTAGCATAGCAATGGCGCTCAGCAACCTGGGAGAAGCTTCCTGAAGGCCACACTGTTGAGGGTGGGAGACGGTGTTAGAGATGGGTAGAGAGAGCCAGGCAGCATGCACCAACCACCTCAGAACCACGTACCAAGAGGAGGGATTCTACAAGGTATTAACGAAGTGCACAACAGCCAGGGACTAGCCTGCAGAGAAGCCTGGAATGGCAGCTGGCTCTGCACTCTGCCTCCCTCCTTCTACCCATTTCTGACCCACCTGTCCTTAGCTTGCTCTTTTTTCTTCCTTCTTCAGATGCCTTGCAGATAACTTCTTCCTTCTCTTAACATCTCTTCATAGGATCTCCTCTGTCTCCTCTCTTTAAACTTTCCATTGCCCTACCACACCACCCTCTTGTGGGGTCAGGAAACAGTTCCATGAAGAGTGACTGATGACTCAGTAGTGTGCAGCTGGAGCACACAGTGGGAACAGGTGGGAAGGGTGGTGGTGATGGTGTGTGTGTCTGTGTGTCTGTACAAATCATTCTCAGAGAGTTCCACAAGTTCAGCTGCAGTACCAGTGTGGGGATAGGGCAAACTGCATCTTCAAACACAACAGGAAAGAAAGCCTACATCAAGGAGACAAGGGTTCGAGGCCAAGCAGAGTCTGGAGTAAAATGGGAGAGTCAAGAAAGGCAGCAACACCTGGGGAGAGGCCTGAAACAGCACAAAGGGGACCCACATAGCCAGTACTCATTTCCTCAGGCCCTGGGAAGGGAGAGGGAGCATTTAGGATGTGTAGTCACCATCAAAAGCACGGGCTGAGACTCATAAAGCATTCCCTTCAGCATGCTGAGATGTTTACGGACATCGAGGAACCTTTTCATGCTAACCATGCTAAGCAAATAACATTTTATAGTTTCCAAGCTTAAATTTAGAATTTGGAGATTTTAACAGAAATAGCCCAAGCAAATATAAACTTGTTTTCAGTGATTTTCAACAAGTACACAAAAACCTTTGCTTCTAATTCCAGTTAGAGTAAACCTGTGCCCTGACCTCTTTAAAAACATTCAAATAAAATCTAGTCATCAGAGGCAGAATAAAAGTAAAACTATAAAGTTGAAATGAAATTTTCTGCTTTACAATAAATAAGGTTGTATCTTATAGGGGGACAATTAAGTAAAACTAGATATAATTTTAGAATCTATTCTTCAAATCAATAATTTGACACTGAAAAAGCTGAGTTTTTTTTTTTTAATGAATAAACAGAAGAAGGACAGAGAATGAACGGGGGCTTGTGGTGAGTGAGAGCCATGCAGGCAGAGCTGATGGGATGGATGCCTTCCCATCCAGTTATTTACCAAGCTGTAGAATTCAGCTGACACACTTAACTTGAACTGCTTTGCTGTTAGTACTGGTTGCCAGAGTTTGAAACGCATCATATTTACCAAGAACAGGCACATAGATTTTGAGTTGACTTTTTGAAACATGCCAAAAATGAAAAGCAAACTAAACTTCTACCAAAAATATGCCGGTTTCCCTTGTACCTACAGAAAAGTACTGCCAACTCTCTTGAGTATAATCAGAATTCCCACTACCTGCCCCAGACTGAACTAATTTCCCTGCAAGTTGAAGGAGAACATAGACTCGTTAATTGCTTTCAAATGTCCATGGTTAATGAAAACCTTCTTCACTTGCTGGCTTTTAAAAGCTGAAGTAGGGGACTTTGGTCCTTGTAAAAGCAGGGACACACGTTTCTGGAATTGGTGGGCAAAGGACCATGACACATTTCCTGTTTACGATTTTCCTGTGTACCAGTTATCTCTGCCCTGTGTCATGGCCACCCTGTCCCTACATCTTATATCACATGGAGGATGTGGACCCTGGACTACACTGAGCCAACACAGGACTGCACGAGAAAAACAGACAACCTGCTGTGTGCAGACGATCTCAGGGTAGTTGCTCTGTAACTCTTGATTCAAGATCCCAAGTGTGAATGACGGGCAGCAATAACATCTTACCAGTGTTAATGGTCCAATCAAATTTACTTTCTTCATTTTTTTCCTGTCTTGGTTGCTGTAAAAACAAAACAAAACTGCACTTTAAACTGTTACAAAATGTTTCCACAGTCATTGAACACATCTGAGATGTTCAATCGTCTGACATATTCAAATACAAAAGAGTGGCATCCATATATTGTTCATCTTTTTCTGCCTTAGCCCTGCAAGGAGCTACTGCAAACAAAGTAACTGTCCAAGGTGCTGCAAGCACAAGAGAAATGGCTACATGCCCTGCACAGGACACACAGCAGAGCAAAGCGTGAGCAATTTAGTTCTTCTTGTGCTCCTGTTCGCATAGGCCACTCTTCCGACTGTGGGGAGTCGTGTCAGGAAACCCTGTTCGAGCCACACTCACAACACAGCTGGATTTCAACCTTCAGTCACACTGATTTTGCTAGTCTCTCCTTCCTGGCCCTTCTACTTGCACCAACCCACATTCCAGTTCACCCTCAACCAGCAGAGCAATGGTTCAAAACACAAAGTCATGCTGTGGTACTTCTCAGCTCACACACCTGCAATGGCTCCCATTTTTCTAATAAAAGACAAAAACCCTTATGTCAGCCATCCTAAAGCACCCTGGCACCTGCTTCCTCTGCTCTAGCCAGTCTGGCCATGGTGCTATGACAACAGAAAATTCCTTCTCTGCCTAGGCCTATGGCATGGCTACTCACCCCCTACTCAGATCTCCATAGAGACCATGCCTCCCATCACTCAAACATTGCTTCCTGAACCAAAGCTACCCTCACCATTCTACTCAGTGTGGTGGATTCCCTCCATCTGATGAATGCTTTCCATGGCAGACTTTACTGTCTGATGTTAAGCTGCAGCTGGCTTCTTTAGGATGTGCATTACTGACGTCTGTCTCCCACACAACAACTCCATAAAAACAGAGATTTCTCTTTTCGTACCTAAGGTAGGCAATCCTCTCTTACCCCCAGGACTTGATCGTTACCACTAATTTATTAAAATCACTTGTGTTCATGAGAGGTGTCCCAGACCAGTGTAGCAAGACCAGAACATGCATGCAACTGACTCAATATGCTCTGGAAGACAGAGGTAGGTATGACTGCCTTGGCACGGACAATCTTTGGGCTGTAATGATGAAAGTCTTCTAGTGCTTAATGTCGCCGTCCCATGGTCACAGACTGTGTGAGCCTCACCTCAGTGGACTACTGTGGATGAGGCCACTACACCTTTTGCTGGAACGGCCCCTTGGAACACTCATCAGATGTCTAGCCAGGGCAACCTGCAAGCAGCAGTCTTTGGGAAAATGACAACTGTGTCAAGGCTGCCAGTCAATCCCAACCCAGCCTACCAGCTAATGAAAGCCCAGTTTTTCCTTCAAAAATGAAACCGTCAGGTCTCCAATCCTGCATGGCAAGACTGCAGTTTCTCTGAATTCATACCCTAGTTCTCAGAAGCAATGGCGCTGTGGAAGCCAGTTAGCATACAGCATCAACACTACTGCCTAGGGAACAGATAGGCGAGTTTTCAGTTAGCTAATCGGGCCCCTTGCAGCTTGAGGACAAACTTCAGAGCCTGATAAAGTGTCCCTCTGGGGATCGCTGGGTGACACATGTCCTCCAGTTCCCAGTGGCCTAGGGTGAACTCCCAGACCCTAACAGCCTCATAAATTAGTCTAGGCTAAAGGCAAAAATGATTCACTATTTACACAGTGCGAGAGCAACAGAGCAGGTTGGCCAGATACATCTACCCCTGTCCCAGAGTCCCAGGAACCTGAGCTGGGAGAGGGGCCTGAGCCCAGGAAATGCCTAGGCTGTCCCCCTTCCCCGTGAACAAAAAGTGGTTTGGAAGTGTAGGGTAGAAGAACAAGACTTCCTGAGGCTCCCTTCCCCAGGCTCCCCAGAGGAAAATGGGGAACCAGGAAGGTTATGGGGGTGGGACAGGAGGAGGACAGAACAGGAAAGTGAGTTTGGCTTCACTGTCCTAGTCCAGGACACCTGTTGCCTCCTTTAAGCTGGGGGAGAGGAGGAAGCTGGGCACAAAGGCCCCTGGTATGGAGCCATTTACCAGAGCCAGTTTTACCAACACCAGTGGTCTCCCCTGCACTCGGGGAAGGGACACAGGGAGGGCAGCATCCTCCGCACCCCGGGGTGCTCCTCCCAGGGGAGACTCCAAAGCTGCTCGCCTTTTTCCAGCCTTTTTCTAGACCCTCCAAACCAAATTAACCCAAAGGCTGTCATTGCTTGTCCCAGCTTCTGGGGGCGGGGGCTACACTTGACATGCGGATTAGCAATTAGGGGAAAGGAGGAAGGGTTCCAGGCGATGTACCTGCTACCGCCCAGTCCGAGGTCGCCCTGGGCTTCCCCGGGGCACCAGGCGCTGCCGTTCCTCAAAGCCTCCAGCTCCATGTCAGCCTGGGGAGAGACCATGCCTCAGGTCCCAGAGCCCCCGGCCCGGCTCCAGGCCCTCTGGGAGAGCCAAGCCAAACTCCCGCAAGCTCCTGGGAGAGTAGATCCTGCTGCGCTCGCCCCACGCCCGGTATCCCCGCGGGCTCCCGCTGCCGCCGTCTCAGCCTCCCTCACCTGGACCTCGCGGGTCACTGCAAAGTCACCCTGGCGCGCAGATGCCGCGGCCGCGGGGTCTGGACTTTGCCCGCCGCGGCTCCGTCCCCGCCTCCCCCGGCACGCGTCCCGCTGGTGCGGGGGTGAGGGCCCCGGGCCGCAGGAGCAGCGCCCGCCGGCTGCGCCGCGCCGCACAGGCCACCTGCGCGCCAGGGGCCCGGCTCCCGCGCTCGCCGCCCACCCGGGCGAGCTGCCAGCCCAGGCCCGGCCGCGCCAGCTGCGGCCGATAAGCCCACGACCAGCACGCGGCCGCCAGGGCCGAACCTCGCCCGCGCTCCAGACTGGCTTCCCTCTTCTGCCGGCACCAGAACACCACGGCCAGGAAGGCCAGCGTCCCTGGATCGGGCTCCTTTGCGAGGCCAGCCCGCTGCCCGGACGCCCTGCTCAGATCCAAGATGTCGTCCTTGGCACTTCTTTTACGTCTGGGTCCTTGGTTGATTAGCCTAGGCCCCAGTTCCCTCACACGTGAAATGCGGATGAAAGTAACTCCCTTACCAGGTGATTGTGAGGCCTAAACGACCTGGAGCCTTGGAGTCAGTCAATCAATCACAGATTTAAATTGTTTTTTAAGGGGATAACTGTCCCGAATATGTGTGTTTCCCCTTTGCATTTTATCAACACACCTCAGCAATGTGTCCTAGGTATTAGGTATTATAAATAATCTAGGGGATGCTGTGTAAATGTCATTTCAGTTCATGTGTGGGATTTGGACACCCACAGATCGTGCTATGATGAGTGTGTGTGTGTGTGTGTGTTTGTAACCCACTGTGCTATGGACATGAGTGTGTGTGTGTGTGTGTGTGTGTGTGTGTGTGTGTGTCCTGTCCCTCTGGAGTGACATGGGTGCAGGGCCCCAAGCACTTGGGCCATTCTCCACTACTGTCCCAGGCACATTAGCAGGGAGTTGGGTTGGAAAAGCAGTAGCCAATTTTCAAACCAGTGCCTATTTGGTATGCAGGTGAGTTTTATGTGCTAGGCCACAATGCCCCCCCACACGCATATTCATTCTTTAGTGCAACACTCAAGCCACTAATTACTGTTCCTCACCACGCACCACCTCATGCCCTCTTGACCTTCATAGCCCAGCCTGGGAACCACCGCCACGACTCTTTGTCAGACTTACCTTGTAAAACCATTGCCCTGGCTCATGGCAGTTCCCCAACCACTGCATGCTCACACTGTGTGGCAGATCATGTTTGATAAAAATCACAAACCACCTGACCAAAGCTCACCACGGACTTGGTGGCTTTTAATTGTATGCTGCGTGTACTAAAGAGCCTGAGTTGACTATTCTTCTCTACAGCATACAGAAGGACACAGACGCTCTGCTGAATCCATTGCAGGCCCTCAACATGATAATATCTCTTCCCCTTGCACTGTCCTGGGTAACTACTGCATGTATTCTGTCACCTTGAACTTCGGTCACTCTCATGGTATCTTTACTTTCTGCCAAGTTGCCGTGCTTCTCATCTCACCGATACAATCATGTGTTCAGAAGGGAGATGCCTGGTTTGTAGCTTCCGTGCCAACACTCTGCCTCCCACTTATGTTTGTGCTGATCTCCTCTCTGCCCTGCATCATCAACTTCCCCATCCCTGCTGAAGCCACACAGCCGCACTGTCATTCTTTTCTTCTCCCACCTCCCCTGCCAGATCCAGTCTCATTTCTTCCCTTTGCTGCTAAACTTCAAAGAAACTACATGTCTTTGTCCATTTCCTATCCTCCTGCTCTCTCAACCAAACAGGAATTTGACCCTTTCACACAGTGAAACTGCTCTGACAATCTCAACATTGCTACATCGAAAGGTCAATTCTTTGTCTCCCTTGAGATCCATCACTCTCTTCCTGAATATGCCCACAGCATTGGATTCCAGGAAAGCACGAATTCTTTACTTTCCTGATCACTCCTCTGATGGCCTCCTTTTTTTGTCAGCTTCTTACAGGACACCTGATGCTCTAAAGCCTCACTCTTTACACTTCTCCCTCTCTTCTCACTCCCTCAATCACCCCAACCAGATGCACAGTTTAAAGGACCGCCTGTACCCAGCAATTTTTGCACTTCTATTTCCAACTTAAATCTCCTTCTCGTATTCTTCTGGTACACAACAGAATCTCTGATGAGCCAGTGGATGTTCAATGGCTGTCTCAAGCTCTATATGCCAGATCTTCACTCCTGATTTTCCCCCTGTGCTGGCCTCTCCAGCTCAGATGACAGCTCTAGCCTCCATTCATCAAGAACATGGTGCCCCCTGCATTCCTCCTTCTGTAACCCACACTTCGTGTCTGCCGGGAAATGCTGTTAACTTTGCTTCTAGAACACACCCAGCACCTGAATATTGCTCTGTACCTGTGCCTCTACGATGGTCAAGGAAGACAGTGTCACCTCTCACCTCCAGAGTGCTAACAGCTCACTTCCAGAGTGCCAACAGCTCCTTTTTTTTTTTTTAAAGATTTGAAAAAAAATTTTTTTACTGGAAAGTCAGATATAGATTAGATAGTCTATATCTATCTATAGATCTATCTATCTATCTATCTATCTATCTATCTATCTATCTATCTATCTAGAGGAGGAGAAACAGAGTGAAAATCTTCAATCCAATGTTTCACTCCCCAAGTGGCTGCAACAGCTGGAGCTAAGTCAGTCCAAAGCCATGAGTGAAGAGTTTTTTCTGGGTCTCCCACACAGGTGCATGGTCCTAAGACTTTGGGTCATCCTCAACTGCTTTCCCAGGCCACAAGCAGGGAGCAGGATGGGAAGTGGGCCTGCTGGTTAAGAACCAGCACCCATATGGGATCCCAGAATGTACAAGGTGAGGAGTTAAGCCGCTAGTCTACCATGCTGGGCCCCAACAGCTTCTTTTTAAATGCTTGTTATTTGTTTGAAAGGCATATGGAAGACTTGGAAGAAGCTCCTAGCTGTCAGCTTCAGACCAATCCAGCTCTGGCCACTGCACATCTGGGGAGTGAATTAGCAGATGGAAGATGTCTCTCTCGCTATCTGTTGCTGTAATTCTGACTTTCCAAGTAAATTAAATACATGTTAAAAAGAAAAACCAAAAAACCAGTGTCTATCCTTGCATCGTGTTTGATAAAAAATAGTGACCATAAAAGAGTACTTCAAATTATTCATGGAAAAAAAATCAAATTTGAAGTTACATTTATTTCAATGTAGAAAATTGAATGAAAATTCATACATAGCTTCTTCATAATTTGCATTTTCCATGAACATTTTAAAGTTGCCTCATAAATGTTTATCACATTAGATTGTCAAAACAAGAAGCGTATAACAAAAGAATCTCTGGTAAGTCAGGATCAATGGAGATGAATTACCTGCATCTACCAAAGCATTTTAAAGTTGTGTTTAAAATGGATAAATTAGTAATAGTTATCTCTAGAGAGTGCGTGGGAGACTCTTGTCTGTGCAGTCGAGTTACAGCAACATGGAAATAACTGCTTTGTGGCCTTTGCTCCTGTCATATCACATGGGTGGCTATCTAGCAAGTTTCTGTCTTTCTGTGTTGGAAGACAGACAGTTGGATGCTATCTTTGCAGATGCTTTTTGCGCTTGGTCGCACTTAACTGTACCCTAATTGTTTCCAGACAATTGCACAATCATGTGTGTTAACTGCTGCCGAAACCCTCTTCCCACCTCAGCATTTATAGATCTCAATTTCTGCTGTTAACCAGGTCCAGAGTTCCTGCCAACTACTGGCTGCTTTTCTCCCAGCAGTGTTAACACTTGCCTATGTACGAGGCAACCTAGTCTGCTGCCTGCAGCTGGGGGTATATATAGCAAGTCTTTAAATAAGATGCAGACAGTCAGAACACATTTAAATTTAAATTGACTACCATTTATCATCCTAAGAACCAGGAAGATCTCACACTAAATTTTCAAAAGGCAATTGTTAGATAAATGAAAAAGAAACTAGAAATATCTGACAGTTTTTGAAAAGAAGCCATTGTGAGAACGTCTCAAGAAATTAGGAACATGTTCGAAACAAATGGAAAACACTGAAAGTTTGAATAAGTAAACAGAAATCATAATAAAAGGACTAAGTTAAAATTTGAGGCGAAATATAAAATGACTGATATAAAACTCAATGTTTTGTCTTCAGCCGCCAGCACTTTTCACTGCCCTTCTAAGCATTCTAGCGGAAAACCTCAAAATCATTTTCCCACTATAACCGGACTATTTCCATTTTGACATCTTTTCCTCTCATCTGGGACCACACGCACGTTACAGACCCGGGCAAGAAAAGATGCAGCTTCTTTTTTAGTCTAACGTGGTACAATACTGTGGTCACAGGTTTGTTTTTCTCCCAGGTTATTCAGGTAATCTCACCCATAGTTTGGCTGAAATGGGCATTTTCTCAAAACAACAACGGAAAGCCACGGATAATCTGTTTCAGCTCTAAAGAGTGGGAGTAATGGGCCACTGCCTGTGCTATAGACATTTTGCATACGTTGAAGTTGAACAATGGCCTCTTTTCATAACAGAAAAAAAAAAGGTGTCTTCAAATTCTGACAGAATAAGGAGGCCTTAGTAGAAAACTGGAAATTAAATAAATGGAACGTAGAACCTTGATAATGCTATTTAATATTCTCTATCTCTGGACTAAAATCAGAGGACAGTGATGGTAGGGGATGCCCTTTCAGTCTCTTTGCCTTCCTCTCTCCTCCCCAGATGGAGCACACTGCTTCCTGTAAGGCACAGGAGGAGCCCGGCCTCCCTCATGCCGGGGTTGAAGTTCCACAGTGGTCATAGATCGCCTGAAAGCTACACCGTGCTCACGAGTGGCAGACGGGGACTCACCTTTGTACTTTAGCTGTAGGATTTGCAAATTTCAAAAAGTAAGATGTGATCTGTTTTATAAAATCTCACCACACAGGAATGTTTGCAGGATGAAGTCTTAACATCTTATTTCAAATGGGTCACAGCAAAAACAAAGAAGGAAATGGCTAGCATAGTGGCATGGAGAATTAAGCCACTGCTGTGACATCTGGGTGCCAGTTTGTGTCTCTGTTGTTC